ATATAATTTTTTTATTTACAGATACAGGCGAAGCGTGAGCTATTCTTCAAAGGTGACAACGCCGGAATAATGTCACCATCTGTGCCGTCGGTGCCATCGGTGCCATCGGTGCCGCCTCCACAACCTCCGTCGCAGGCCTCGTCGCCGATGAGCACCTCGTCAACGAATACGTCGTCGACAACTACCACGACAACCACGACACTCGCCTCGCCTAACACAGCACCACCAACTTCCTCGACCGTGTACACAAGCGTCACATCGTCGGCGCCTACCTCAAAGCCACGATTACCTCCGTCCACGGTGATTCTGAATCAAAACGATGCATCAGAGGACAGCAATAAACGGGAGTCGAGCAGAAGCAGCGAAAACAAGGAAGCCCCTGTTCTACATCATTCACGACCAACGCCGCCGACCAAGCCTAAAGAACTTGATGGTTACGTGGGATTCGCGAATCTGCCCAACCAAGTCTATAGAAAAGCTGTTAAAAAAGGATTCGATTTTACTCTGATGGTCGTTGGTTAGTCCGATCATATTGCTTTTTACTTCATGGTTCTTTAAGTTTGTGCATTTCATTAATCTTTGTTTACACTCAATTGGCCGGTGAACTATCCAATTACCATGTACTCTGAAAGGAAAGCGTTTACTGTACAAATCACAATATAAGAGGAAACAAGTGATATAATAGCTAAGTAGTATGGTGTGGGATTCATTGTTTGATAGCCTTGAGTAGTAATTGCTTTTAGACAACCTGTACATTATATTTGATTTCGCTTAAATGAACAGGATACCCGATGTAAATTGAGCATGGTGGCTTATCAATCATTAAAGTAATATCATTTAAAATAATTAAAGATTTATATTTAAGCATAATCGACACATACAATTAACATGATCTTTATAAATACGTGAAAAATAGAGAAGAATAGAGTCATTAATGGGAAGAATTGCACACGAAAATAATGATCATTATCGTGTATAGAAAAGAATGGCCGTGGTGAATTCTATTTATATTGGAGTGAATTCCTTTTTTCAAAGGAGATCTAAAAAATGCATATTATGACTTCCCGCGTTCCTCTTTTCGTTGGTGTTCATTGTGCAAATGTACAATGGACATTTGTTTTTTCCTTTTCATTTTTCGTCCTTTAGTTTTCCAGGTTGCGGGGCAAAAAAGAGATCCGTTTCTCCGGTTATTTCAATTTTGTCGAGGATATTGCCTTATGAACCTCCATCTGCTCAACACGTGTAGAACGTTCTTTCACCCAACTGAATTAGGGCTGTCTTTAAGTACCAGCGGTTCTCATGCACTATATTTATAAAATATTCAAAATTAATTTTCTCATTTGCGTTTAAATCATAAGATATTAAATAAACATTAAGAAATATATACAAAATTCCTGCATTATAAAATCCCGTGAATAATATTTATTACCACGGTTAATAATAAATATTTGTTATTTTGCAATAAAGAACGTAATTATGGGGAAATTGTTGGGTAAATTGTGTCGTCTGGATGAAAGTTTGAAATTCGAGGATATAGGCGGAGTATTGCTATTATTAGTACCGGTATAAACAGAGCCATTTCTCCGTAAATAGAGCAATTCAAACGCTTATCCTTGAGGGAGAGAAGGCGCGGCACTTTGGTCAGTTCAAGGTACGCGGACAGAAAGGTCAGGGTACCGTTTGGTATTCCAAACTATCCTCTAAAAGAACATTAAAGAAACAATATTTGTATACGAAATTGTATATTGTTCACTGACCATTTCTAATAAAATCTTCATTATTTTATTCGTATCTCAATAATTCATTTAATTCTGTATCTCCTTAGGTGAATCAGGGCTGGGAAAATCAACCTTGATCAATTCGATGTTCCTCGCCGATATATACAGTGCCGAGTATCCTGGTCCTAGCCTCAGGGTTAAAAAAACTGTAGCTGTAGAGACAAGCAAGGTATTGTTGAAAGAGAACGGTGTGAATCTTACTCTGACTGTCGTCGATACACCTGGATTCGGAGATGCAGTCGATAACAGCAATTGGTAATTTTATTTGTAACACCATTTGTACACTTTGTTATGTTTAAAAACAAAGAGATAGCTTTTTTCATTGGTTCTTTGCCACACAATATAGAATTATATTCATGATATATATATTCTTTAATTTCATAGACCCATATGTATATTGGTTTATGAAATTAAACAAGTTAAAATATAAGTTATGTCTAATGCTTTTTCAATAATTCTACCATTTACCTAATTACTGTAGAGATAGACAGCTAATAGTTATAGATATAAGAAGGAATTATAGAACAAAGGGAGAAGGAAGATATTGTTGTTTCAGTTGGGTACCAGTGATCGAATATATCGAATCAAAATACGAGGAATTTCTAAATGCTGAGTCTCGTGTAGTGAGACGGCAGATCCCAGACAGTCGAGTGCACTGTTGTCTCTACTTCGTCGCACCCTCGGGCCATGGTTTGAAGCCGTTGGATGTCGAGTTCATGCAACGTCTTCACGACAAAGTTAACATTATACCTGTCATCGCGAAGGCAGATACCATGACGCCAGACGAATGTGCTCATTTTAAGAAACAGGTTCGTATTATCGAGTAAACCGGTTGCACTCGCGTATCGCATGCGAACAAAGTTACCTCTTGTATATTCATTGTCGACTCATTACGAGTTATAATTAAATTACAAACCTCTATCGTAGAATCAATAATACATTGATAGACAACTGTCATTTGTAGAAATGAAATCTACATATCTTTAAACTTGAAATTTGTTATTGTTGGTTGTTTAGATTTTAAACGAGATAGCACAGCACAAGATAAAAATCTATGAGTTTCCGGAAGTAGAGGAAGAAGAGGAAAGTAAACTGCATAAAGTTCTTAGAGACAGAGTACCGTTTGCAGTAGTGGGTGCAAACACTGTGGTCGAACAAGACGGTAGGAAAGTTCGTGGAAGAAAGTATCCTTGGGGAATCGCAGAAGGTATAAAACTGTAGATACTTGGAAATAGTTTTTAATATTTTTTATTTTCATTCAAATTTTACAAAAAAACTATGCCTTTTTCTCGTTTGATTGTGTAGTGGAGAATTTGGAGCATTGCGATTTCATAGCACTCCGAAACATGGTGATCAGAACACATTTGCAAGATCTGAAAGATGTGACAAATAATGTACATTACGAAAACTTCCGATGTCGTACGTTAGCAGGCATTGGAGTGGATGGAAAACCAACGAAAGTCTCCAATAAGTAAGTGTATTCTTCTGATAGATAAACATAAAAATGGTATATGGTTATTTACAAAATAAGATTGTTAAAAAAATAAATGTGAAATTTACTGCGTACATGTAAAAGTAAGAACAGAAAAATATTATAGAATAACAGTTTAATGATATTTAAATATTTCACAAAGTAAATTCAAATGGAACCCCATAAAATAATTATTTGAATTGATTTTATTCTTATCTTTTTTTTTTAATGCAAATATAAGTGCTTGTAGCCTATTGATTTTGTTTTTGATTATGACAGTTCAAAAAGCTTGTGCATGCAAACTATTAAAAAATAAAGGTTACTTCTATCAGACATATATTGGACTCAGATATCGTGTTAGCAAAGTTGTTGAGGTATATTATAGTCTAGGCTAGAAAGAAAAGTGATCCTGAAAATATATTTTTTCAATAGTATATCTCTTACGTGAATTTTAATGCTGATTTCTTATTGGTTAGTTTGTGCCCTCCAGGAGTGATGAACAGTTTCATGACAGTGTGGTAAGTCTTTTAATAAGGCCGGGGTCATGTAATATAGTTTTGTGTGCACAAGCCTCTCGTCCAGTTACCATTCTGCGTATTTACTTTTATGCGCATTTATTTAGTTACAGGAGGGTTCACTCTATCAATATATACCGACATATTTAAATTTAATGGGATAAGAAAAAATAGTGATTATATACATTACTTATGTAAAAAATATTAGCTCATTTTTTTAACCTGTAATAACAATTAAATTTACCAAGGTAAACTTCTATCTAAACTATGTTGGTAGTGAACTCTCTGATTGAAGAATTACTTCATATACAGTAGGTAAAAAAAGTATTGGTGCACTGAACTATAAGAAAATTCACTTATCCAAAATATTCTGATTTTAATAAAAATTAGTATGCATGTAGAATACAGTGAATTACATACTGAGTAATTTTTTATCGACGGAAAATCTCTTTAATTTCAGCCTTCCGAAAAAATTTTCTATTGATAAAAAATAAGTTAATACATAATTTATTGTGCTCTACATATACGCGGATTTTCATTAAAATCAGAATATCCTGGTTAGGTGAATTTTTTTTGTAATTTAGCGTACCAATACTTTATTTATTCACTGCAAGTAGATAGTATTATAGTTTCATTTTAGCAAAAACCTTTGTTGCTGGTTATTTTTAGTACAACTGAGTAATATGTGAATCTGCTTGGTTTTAGTCCATATTTTACTTTAATTATTTTTCATTAACATTATTTTTCTTCTGCCACTCTAGTTTTTTCATTTTTGTCAAATTTATAATTATGAGAAATTGCATTTTCATTTTGTAATTTCCCATGTATGTAGATAGATTACCCTATAAAAAGCTAAGTGATTAGTAAGCAAATATTTGTATGAGACATTTATTTTCGTATAACAAACTTTTGTTGAACTGGTATTATTCTTGTACGTTTTGTAGGAATCCATTGGCTCAATTGGAAGAGGAAAAGAGAGAACATGATAATAAAATGAAAAAAATGGAAATTGATATGGAGCAGGTGTTTGAAATGAAAGTCAGAGAAAAGAAGCAAAAACTTAAAGATTCAGAAGCAGATGTAAGTATTTTCTGGTTGCGTGTAAGTATATATATTCAAAAGGAATTACTTTAATCAAAAGAAATATCTATTTGCAGTTACAAAAAAGGCACGAACAAATGCGGCGCTGTTTGGAGCAACAAGTACGTGAGTTAGAAGAAAAAAGACGAGCATTTGAGGCTGAAAAGGTAGCATGGGAGCAACAGACTGGACACAGTATTGAAGAATTACGTAGGCGCAGCCTGGAAGCAAATTCAAAAGAGTAAGTATTATTTAAATATAAAACATTTGCTTTTGGTTGTTCATATTTTTATAATTGTCATATTATACGATATTTATGTAAAAAAATGTTAATTATAAAGTTGCACGAATGGAAAGGTATTTTGTAAATTATAAAGACATAGCTTAATACCTTATTTTAATTAAGGAAGTGGACAGTAATGCTTTAATAAGCTGTATACTTATAAAAATAAATGATTTACAGATATTTTGTTTGAAATATTTTTACATTGTTTAAATTTTTGCTTGAGAAAGACCATTCAGCTGATTATGTGTAGTAAAAGCATTTATAATAAGCTTGTAGTATGTGTAATAGTATTTGATAATAATTCACTACTATTAATCCTAATTTTGATTATGGTACTTTTGTCCTTTGTCATTATCTGTGACAAATTTAGAATATTCAGACTTTTATTAAAAAGTTACATAGAAATAATGCTACATAGCTTAATCTAGTAGCAGGAAATTACTAATAATTATTAATAAGCATATATAACGTAACCATCCTTCTGAACTTAATAGAAGTTAATTTAATGTTTATTTATTCAATATTAATTTACTATAATTCAATAAATTTATTAATAATTTTATGTCATTTTCGAATAATAAGTTTACGATCATTCAATAAAGTGATTCATCAAAATCTTTTTAGGACTGTATTTTTCTGTATATTTTTAACTTTATTGATTATGACTATATTTTTCTTTCAAAATTACTTTTCGATTATTTTAAAATAGAAATATTGTTTCTATATATATATTATATTTTTTCGCCATGCACTACAGTCACGTAAAATAGGACTATAAAAAACACATATGTATAGTAAATCTAATTTTTTGTCTGGAACGCTTATTTGAAATTAGTACTGAATGTCTGATGCAATGTAACGAAACATGTACATAATGTATTTATTTAAGAAAGCTTTTTTACGAACGAATGTTATGTGATGCTTGCGCTTGTTTGTTTGTTGTGTGTATACCATATCGGGGTGTCCCTTAATTTAGGACGGGATCAGTGTCTTCCGAGGGATCTGGCGGTGGCGGGGGTACGTTGAGGGGTTCACGAGGGATAGGAAGTCTCCTACGCCGTCACACCAGTTTCAAATCACCTCAAGACAGCCCTACACAGATACAGCTTGTCATACAACATCCCGAGCATCCTTAGTAGATCGTAGAATCTGTCTACATTTACTTACAAAATGCCTGTACGTCGCTGTGTCCAAGGACTAAAATCTTTCGAAATATTAACGTCGATCTCATTTTTTATACGTTTGATGCGTGTGTTTATTTTACTGCTGATTTAACGCGTATGTGTATGTGTGCGCATGCGCGCGTGCGTATGTATGTATGTGTATATACATGTATATACGCACACATATACACTGGTATACGTATGCGTATTCGTGTACTGAATGAAATTTAATTACTTACACATCATACAAGAATTTGTATATCTTTTCCTTTGTCCGTCTTTTTTTCGATTATCTTTGTTTTATAGTTACAAGGACACATTAGCATTACAAGCTATGCTATTTAAGACTATTGTGAAAAAAAGTATTACACATATTTCGGTTTCGGTGTATGGTAGTAGATACCTTTATTGCTTATATTTCCTTTGTTCTTCAAATATTTCATGAACGAAAATACTGAATATGCTTGAAAACAAAACCATGGTCATATATACCATAAGTGATGAATTAACAATCACCATTATCTCAAAATCGGAGTAAGTTAGTAATTCTTTACGATTATCACTTATCTAATTACGAAAAAATGGAAGTATAGGTCAAAAATTTTTGCACCACACTAACTAACGTTCGATAATTAATGCTTAATTATAGAAAAAGAAAGAAGTGGAACAGACTTTATGTTACGAGAGACATCTTAAAGTAAATAAATAAGAAGAGAAAATATCCATATCGAAAAAGAATCTGAGTAGAATAATTTTACTTTAGAACTATACATATATTTAGAGGGACATATTTTTGGCACAAAATAAAATTTATGTAAGTAATGCAAATCGTTTTATATTCACAGCAATATGCGTTACATTCGTACATAATTTATCTTGTGGGAACGCAAAGTAACAATCATATTTAGTGAAGTATTATGGGAAGCTATTGTAAACTCTAAGCAAGCTGTCTGTTTTTATTTTTATCTTTTTCTTTTTCATTGATACATTCCAGTTCGCATGCTTTTACATTCCCATCGAATTTAACATTTTTTTCCAGATGTGGTTCTCCAAATTGATTTGAATTGAATCAAAAGACAGCTTGATAAAGGGTAATACCATACATGACCAATAATAATTACTCACAAACAATTATTATACATTGTTAATTTCATCATTAAATCTTTTTTCGCAAATAAACGTAATGCTTTCCTAAAACATTCACTAACCATTTTCGTCGCCCTCATTTTATTTAGCCTTACTGCAAATAAGCGATCTGAAAGACATCGATAAATAATAGAGAAATATCATCTGCTTATTTTAATATGGCTTTAAAATATAAAGTGCAACATAAATGTCATTTTTCTCTAATATGTTTCAACGTTACGTCTTTTTGTATTATGTGTTCTTATGTCTATATTTGTAAGTATCTTTGAAAGATATGGATATACAGAAATTTTTTATTGCAGATTAAATATAAAATATATTGCATTGCTTTAATAATGTATTAACAGCTGTTAGTCAATAAGTTTTATTGCAACATATTGGAAATTTTAAATATAAAAATTACATATGAATATTTAAAAAAACCAATTATTTTTTATTTGTATAAAGTGTGTGCTCCATTAACATTTAAAAACCAAAGAATAAGATGATAACACTTGCAGATAGCATGAGGCTTAATGGTCATGGCCCATGAAAATACATATTTCTGAAAGCATGATTTTAGCATGACTAGATTATATATATATGTTACTGTATGTACACTATAATTATTGATGGATATACACATTGCACTACATATCCTAAACTTTATAAAATATTATACATTATATAGTGATATTTTATTATATTACCCTCCATAAAAAGAGGATATATTAATTTAATAAATATATAATAATCGGATAATAAAAATATTTATACTTTTACCAATGGACAAATAGTAGTCTATTGGAAGTCATCTATATATATTCTTTATAAAAATGGGTGAAAAATCTAAAACAGTAAATAATTACATCTTAAAATTCATTAACACTGTAAGTTATATTGTCATCTATTAATTGTAAAAATTGCTTATTTCTACTGATATTGTAATTCTTTCCAGGGCTGTCGATGGTAAGGATAAGAAGAATAAGAAGAAAGGACTCTTTTAAGTCAACTTCAGAAAGACAACGTGAAGAGTGAATATTTCTTAAAGTAGCAATTTTTCTTTAAAAAGATAACATCAATAACATGATTTCTTTAAGAGAAATTGAACATAAATTAAGAAAAAATATTTCAATTAAAAGAATTTACTGACAAAATTTTCCAGACTATTCTATATCTAGCTTTTCAAAACTTTGATTTGATTATTCCTATTAGGTATAAACATACGCGGTCCATCCTAAAATGCAATATATTTTATGATGTTTTATATGTTAAAATAATACTGCTTCAATATTATCAAAGAGAAAGTATGACTCGTGTGATTCGTTAATGAATTAAAAGACATGAAAGAAATATGTGTTGCTTAAATCATGCAGTTGATGTGTATACTATGTATATCGCTCTACGTTTATACGACTCCCTCGTTTTACAAGCATAAATGTATTATGCTTTTAAGAGTGAAAATGAAAGTGTTTCTTCTGCCGTGTTCGCCTGTGCTTCTTCGCGCTTCCTAAGATTAATATCCAACAAAACAACATCTAGCATAATTCAACATATGATATTGTACAAAATGTAGACATAGTTTCAGAGAACATAATTTCCTTTAACAAGGGTGATCAAGAAGATGCAGAAAGAAAAACAGACCTCTCTCAATGTATCATCGTTTTTTATATTGTCGTACTTATATCGTCTTTAATGCTTGTATGAATACTTTGAATATCACAATTATGTGTCAACGTGCTCGTGTTGTTTTTAATATTTATATAGATATTCTGAATACGATAATTATATTAACATAAGTGTATAATATAAATATCAAAAAATAAAATCTTAATGACAATTTGTGAAGATTCAAGTGTTAAAACAAGATGAGATAATGATGATCACTCTTGTAAGATTGTATGTATCATACATAACTCGAGTACTAGATTCAGTTCATCATAAATTCGAGTACCGTTGCAGAATAATTTTTAATAAAGCACAAAAATCGTTTTTTAGGGGAAAAAGATTACTTACTTATCGAATTGAAACGTGCGATACGTTATCGACCTAATAAAAGTGAGAAAAGTCTCTGGGTCTAGAGCTAGCAATAAGTTATATCGATGTTTCTATTATGTTTAAAAGTGCGTCGTAAATTAAATTGTTAAAAAATAGCACATTTATATAAAAGGGTACTTATCCTAAAGAAACAAATTGTATAAATAATTGTTTTACATCGATCATATTCTTCCTTTTACTATTCGCTTCACGCGAATGTCAGCCTGCTGCTTTGTAATGAATTATAGATTACGAAGAATCTTAAACATAGGAGAACAGTACAGAGTAGTATTACTCGTCATTGATCTTTTCATTGAACTCAGCTTGCATCATTCTGCGACGGATGGTTGAATGTGATTCTAAATGAAGCAGTGGCCATATATATACATATAAATATATATTTATGTATAAATAAAATCGAAAAGATCGTAACGATAAGTCCAGTTAGTGTAAATTTAAGTTGTATCGATAACGAGACAAATCGATTACGAATAAGAGTAAACTGTATAAAATAAACCTAAGTATATGTTGGATTGTCGTGATTCGAGACAGTGCGCTAATTTTTGTTCACTGTAAAGTTAAAGAAAATGCTAATCAGAGTTATGAATTAAATGAATTATTAAAATGGTACATAATCGACTGAAAATGTATTCGAACTAATACAGAATGTCTACCGCACCGTCTCGAAACCGTCCAAATATACATACGTTGGTACCCGTAGTTGGTATCCGTAACAAGAATGGGCAGACCGATTTAACTATAGGTTCTCGACATTTTTACATTTCACACACGATCAATTCTATTTGCTTTTTTTTTGTTTTTTTTTTTTTGTTTTTTTTTTGTTTTTTTTCCTCCTTTTTTTATCAAAGACTTTATACAAAAGTATTTTCATCAGAATAGAATATTTGGAAAAGAAATTTAGAAGTTTGCCCAGTCTTGAATTTGTATTTTAAGCTAATTAAATTACTGGTGTGCCAAGATGAAGAAGATAAGCATTTTATAATAACGCTAGTACGTGATTCTTCAGTTTTTGTAAAATAAGATTCATGCGATTTTCTGAACACGCAGAGAAAAAGAAAAAGAGAAAAAGATTTCGTCTCAATTTATTGGGAAGAACCACGTGTTACATTCCTATTTTGTACGCATTTTTCTAGGTAAAAATATCAACTCATCAGCTCGATCTTTTCTCGTCACTGACAATCCATTGAGAAGCTCAAAACAAATTGCTTCAATCACACGAAATACAACACCGATAGTTCGAAAAGTTTAATAAAAACATAATAATGATAAATATAAAATTAAGATATATTAGAACAATTTGTACTTGAAATTTAGGCAAAAGAAGTGTTTTTCGAGCTATCGATGTGTCAAGAAAAAGTATTTAAAGAAAAGACGATTCGAGATTCGAGCTTTTTTGATGTTGGAAACAGCAATGAGTACTTTTAAGGACGGATATTTTAGAAGTGATCAAATGGTTCGCAATTTCTGCACTGATAATATTAAGCTCAATGTTATAAAACATTAGAACAATACGTTCACCGAGCTATAATATTTTTATCAAAGCGTACATCACTCCCACATTTCGAGACAGAGGATGCTTCTCAAATTAAATCTTTTTATTTGGTTTCTTCTTTTTTTTTTCTTTTTTTTCTAAGAGAAGAAAGCAAGTCTAAGATGATGTTTTCATCTGAACTTTTACTTTTTTATAGAAATTCCAGTGAAGAAGATATCGAGATCTATATATCTGCAGTACAAACAGTATTATAGCAAATATCATCTTCAAAAAATAAAAAAATTTTAAAGTCACACGAACTAATCGCCATTTTCCTATCTACATTCTTTCAAGGAACACGGAAACAAATGGAAAATAGTTGAGTACTTAAGTTTTATTTTCCTGCAAAAGAAATTTAGAAACTAGAAGATAGAATCTCCCATGTTTCCAAGACCTAATCTTTCAATGATGAATAATGCAAAAGTCTTATTTCATCATCGTAAGAAATTTATCGGAATAATTAAAACTGAAGTGTGTCTGCTTAGTTAACAGATTGAAGCTGTTTATACGTTTCAGTGTTATATAACATGTAGTTCTAAGGTATTGAGAGTCGGCGAAGGGGAAGTGTATTAATTACTGTATGTGTACTTTAATCAGCAATGCTTATATTTAAATAGTTAATCGTCATAAATCATTTATCATGCCGTGCGATCATCATACATGTTATATGCGCGAGTCACAATATAATAAAACAAAGAAAAAAACACGCGAGGCGAAAGTAGGTAAAATAAAAACGAACTACATATATCTTGCCGTGCCAGATGAAAACGAAGCTGCCGCCGCTATCCTGTAGAACTCGTAGTAATAATAATAATATTCAGAAAACCATATTTAGTAATCATTATTATTATACTTTAGGATTATGTATTCAGTAAATTATATACAAAATGAGAAATGTCACTCCGTTTTGAACCCAAGTCTTTTGTGCCTATATATATATATATATATATATCACAGTCTTTTATTCATACACAGTTGAAATATTGTATGCACATAAAAGGAATCTGAGTTACAGAAAATATTTGCATATGACCTATTTTTGTATATAAAAGGAATCTAAGTTACAGAAAATATTTGCATATGACCTATTGACGTCAGTGAAAAAGAAATGTCAACAATCAAAAATAAAAAATTATTAATTTAAATGGATTTGTTAATTTGAACGGTGTTATAATTATAATACCTATACTCTAAAAATATATTTTAATATACATTTTTGGAAAATTCTTTTTCACTAACTCAAAGTACAAACCAAAAAGCGAATAATTACAAATAATTAATTTCAAAATAAAATTTCTTTATTTTTTTATTCTTTTTTTTATAATTTCACTTATATAAAAGGAAATTTGTTAACTTTTATAAGAAAAAAATAGTAAAAAAATATTTTAATATCCCCCCCCCCCTTCCCTCCCCTTCAAGTTTACTATATGATTTCGCACTATGGTGTAAGTATTGAGAACAGAATAGATGTCACGAAAGAGGTAAGACATTTTTAAGCGACTTTAGAACTTTGACCCAGTACTGTAATACAATTTGAATTGCCCTTGGCGATTAAGATACAAAGTGACATACATAAAATTTGTTTACTTTTAATAGCCACTATATTATTTATATAGAATGAGCTGAATGTGATAACGGTATTGATAACGTATCTACAATTTCTTATGTGCTATAATAAAAGTGAATTTTTCATTTGATATTATAATAATTAATTGAATAATATAATAATAATAAAAATATTAAAAATTCTAGAAAGTAATAGTTTTCATTTTAGTATTCCTATATTTTATACGAATAACGAAAATTGATAATGAAATATTAATGAAAAATTATAAAAATATTTATGTATTGTGCATAATTATAAACAAAATTTATCTAACTTACATGAGAAATACTTAAATAATCCATTGCGCGCAATATCTCCTTTCACTTCATTAATTTTACTATTCTAAAAAATATATTAATTATAAATCAGAACTGTGGCCATGATTCTTTACTTAGAATCTATACATTTATATGAATATCTTATTCATCGAAAAATGAAATTTCTTAAATCATCTAACAATAAGTTTCTTTTGATTAGTGTATATTTACAGCAATGCACGGTACTGTTCGCTTTCACGAAAATTTATTCTAGATGCTTATTTTCACTTGTACCGTTACGTTACGACAGACTCAAATAGTCCAATGTACGCATACAAATCTGATATTAATTTAACAAAAATTATTTTTGGAAAAGTTTATCGAATTAAATTTATGTTTTCATATGATAAATTCTAACGTAAATGTATAGAATATTTGCAAATAACATAGCATAAAATGAATAAATTATTCTAATATTCTTATTCTATTTATCATTTCAATCATTTATATTTTCCATATTTTCTTATAAAATTGTAATATTAATATTTAAAGAAGGTTGTAAACAAACTAATTTGATTTACAAATATAGTGAATACACAATGTTATTCATAATATACATTGAATAAATCTGTTATCCCCACCAAGTGGCAATACGTCTGGTTGAATAAGCGGCGGCAGCTCGACAAGCAGCATTTGCTTGTGAAACGTTGATTTGGAAGTTTGACATTTTTTAAAGAACTGATCCAATGAGTAGACGTATAATAGAAAAGAAGAGTTAAACGAGCTTTAAAACACGTTATTTGGTGACCGTAATTTTTGCTTGTTGAGTTTCACTTCTAACCTGAATTCATCATTGAGTTTGTTTCTAGCAGTAGCACGTCCGTCCTCGAAGCACACGTTCACTTGGTTTGAAGTTACGAATTTAAAAAAGGCAGGATTATCAGACACTCAGATTTTCAAAATTATTGTTATTGCCTTTTCGAGATTGTTATCGAATTTAAGTGCCAACAAGACATTTCATAAAAGTTACAATATTTGGGAAACAAATTTAATACATGATCGGCGTTTAACCGGCATTACGTGCATTTTTTAGTACAAGAGAACTGTACCCTGCCTACACGTTATCATGAGTATAGAACTTTAAGGATTACATTACAATTCACAGTAATTATATATATAAAATAATTACAGAGAATATTGTAATATACAATAAAACTGTTTTATTAAAATTGAACATCATGTGGCCCAAAGATGTTGGTATTAAAGCAATAGAAGTATACTTTCCTGCTCAATATGTTGAGCAATCAGAATTGGAACAGTTTGATGGTGTATCTAGTGGAAAATACACCATTGGCTTAGGTCAGTGTAGAATGGGTTTCTGCAATGATCGTGAAGATATTAATTCTTTGTGTTTAACGGTTGTGCACCGATTAATGGATAGGTATAATATAAAACCAGAAGATATTGGAAGATTAGAAGTTGGCACAGAGACCATAATAGATAAGAGCAAATCTGTTAAATCTGTTCTTATGCAACTATTTGAACCATATGGTTGCACAGATATAGAAGGAGCTGACACAACCAATGCATGTTATGGAGGTACAGCTGCTCTTTTAAATGCTATATCCTGGGTGGAAAGTAGTGCCTGGGATGGTAGATTAGCCTTAGTTGTTGCTGCTGACAATGCTGTATATTCTATTGGAAGTGCTAGACCAACTGGTGGTGCTGGAGCCATAGCAATGGTGATTGGACCAAATGCACCTTTAGTAATTGATCGTGGAGTAAGATCATCATGTATGAAACATGCATATGATTTTTATAAGCCAAATTTAAACTCAGAATATCCTATTGTAGATGGACATTTATCAATTCAATGTTACCTTAGTGCATTAGATAATTGTTATCAAACTTATTGTAAAAAGGTAAAAAATAAGTACAACTACAATGTAACTTTAGATAATTTTGATTCTTTTTTGTTTCATTCTCCATATTGTAAGTTAGTGCAAAAATCTTATGCGAGACTAGCTTTTCTTGATTTTTTGAATACCCCTAAAGAGGAAATATCTAGAAAGTATCCAGAATTAATAAAATTACATGATGTTAAACTTGAAGATACTTACTTAAATAAAGAAATTGAAAAAACATTTATAAATTTAAGTAAAACAGATTTCCTTCAGAAGACACAACCTACTTTAATGATAGCAAGTGAAGTAGGAAATATGTACACTCCATCTGTATATTCTGGATTGGCCTCTTTACTGATTAGTAAACCCATAAAAGAATTAGCAGGTTCTAAAGTAGGAATATTTTCATATGGTTCAGGATTTTGTTCTACTATTTATTCATTAACAATAACAAAAGAATGTAAAGAAGAATCCGATTTAATGAAAATAATCTCTTCACTTTCATATATTAAGGAAGAGATTGGTGCACGTCAAAAGGTATCTCCAGAAGATTATACAAAGATATTAGAGTGGCGTGAACAGAACTGTCATGTTGTACCATTTAGTCCACAAAGTAGCATTCAAAATATGTTCAGTGGAACCTACTATCTTGTACAAGTGGATGAGAAATATAGAAGGACTTACAATAGGGTATAGAACTTGTGTTAGTTCTTAATATTTAGCTCATCAATTTTAACTTAATATAGTAACAATCATATTATTTGGAGTTTTAACAATCATTGAATCAAAATCAGAATGGTGCATGATTATGTATATAATTTAAGAAGTACATTAGTTAGTAATTAGGATAAAATACTTTCACTAAACAAATATATGTTTAGTAACAAGAAACAAAACACATTAATAACATTATTAAATATATACTTCTGATTTTTAAATCTATTTATACATATGAAGATTTTATAAATTACATAATAGATATATCAATTACTTTCACAAAAATATCTCTTTTTATATATTTATCCCTGATATATAGTTTTTAATATATCTGTTATGTATATTTTACATATCTTTTTAGTAAAAAAAAAAGTTACAATCATTGTATTTTAATATATTAGAAATATTAATATGCAAATAAATAGTATAATATATTAATTTATATAAAAATATTCCTGAAAAATAGAAATATTCCTTTTTAGTACATTTATTACAGTTAAATTTAAATTTATTAACTGTATATATAAAAGCAGTGAATTGAGAAATTACATGAAGATTTTGTACATATAATAAAGAAATGCCTTAACAAAAAAATGTACTTTGATCGAAATGTTAATAATATGCCAAAACTGAAACAGATTGTGTATAAAAAGATTATTCAGTATTTTTGCCACTTATTGCATATATAAATCAACTGATATGGTAATTGTAACAAAATATTTCAATCTCTTCATATATTTTGTTAAAAAAAGGGGACAAGTATAGAGTGTGTATTGTAATTTACAAATCAAAATTTTTGTCTTATAACATATATATCAACGTTAATAAATAATTGCTATTATTTAATATACTGTTTAATTAATATTCTCTCAAATACATGTATGTATATCATTTACTTTTTATTTCAATAATTTTAATATTACAACAATATTAAAAAAATAGTAGAACAGTGAATTTTTTGTTTAAAAAAATATATCAATATATTATTTATGTTTCTTGAGACTTTGCTCATTAAAAATAAATACTAATATCAAGTTCTGCTACATTTATAAATAGTTAAAGTACATCATTGTCATAGAACATTCTAAAATCTAAATATTTATATTTACAAATATATATATTTAAAATACTCAATCTTATGTCTCTAATTAAATTGTAGATGCAGCAGTAATTTTTCAGATTAATACAATTTGATAGTGAGTTCTTGTTTCATAATTAAATAGTCTCAAAATACTGGCTTAGTACCACAGTTATTACTATTTTGTCATTATCAATAATGTAGTAACTCACTTTTTTAATATCACATTATTTAAATTATTATAAAAATATTGTACATTATTTTTTCATTTTATATACAAATTTGAACTTGAAAAGGATATGTATGCCATTTATTAAGAAACCACTACCTAAAATATTTTATATGAACAACTTGAACACGAAGTTAATTTTCTACTTGCACCAAGTCTAACAATTTCATCTTCATTAGCATTTATTTGGCGATTTTCATGTCTTCTCTGAAAAAAAAAGTAAAAATTATATATATACAATTATTATATAAATGAAGTTTATTAATAAAAATAAAATTGAAATTATATGTTATAAAAATTATTTCTCTACTTTTCAATGTATGATTCAGATATTTATTTGTTATTTCATATTATATATGTATCTTTATATGAAAATTGAATACTTTAAGCTCAGATGCCAGATAGAAAAATACAGAATCTATATTGGTATTTTCTTTGGCTGATGTTTCCACTATTTGTAGCACTTCAGGAAGATACTGACAAAGAGCTTCTGCCTCACCTTTCTCAACTTCTCGTAAATTTTCTAAATCACATTTGTTACCTATAAGATTTTTACTTGTTAATATATAATATTTAGATTATAATTTAAACAAAATATATAAATAAATCTCACCAACTAAGATCAATAACACATGTGATGAAGTATACCTTCGTACTTCTTCAACCCAATGTTGTAAACTTAAAAATGTAGATCTCTTTGTAATATCATAAACTGAAATTTATTTAAGCTATTATAGAGGTTTATGATTAAATAAACAAGAAAGAAAATAACATTCATCACACACCTACAATAACACCATTAGCAGATCTATAATAACTTTGAGTTATTGTACGAAATCTCTCTTGACCAGCTGTATCCCATATTTGTAACTGTTATAGAAATAATAAAAATCTTTTAATAACAATATATTTTATATGTAATATACTTACTATGTTTGATACAATAAAAAGAAAACAAAAGATAAATAATTATTTATATAAAATAATTGAAACTAATTAATTGTTTAAAGAATATTATGAATATATTAAACTTATAAATTGTTATATTATATTGTAATCATAATAAATTTAATTTAATGTGAAAAATTTTTTTTCTTATATTATTACATTATCACAAAGTTATTTTTATTAAAAATAATACCTGTTCAATTTCATATTACAATATGAAGTTAGTTTCATAATAATTTTAATATGAAAAATATTAAATTTTTTAAAGTTTATAGGTTAAATATCAAAAAATTTTTAAATATTTAGTATAGTATTTTATCAATCATAGATTAAATAAACGTACTTTAACTTTCTTATCATCAATGAGTACAGTTTTCATGGAAAAATCTACACCAATTGTATTTCCATGCCTTTCGATAAATGTGCCAGATCGAAATCTTTGAACAACACATGTTTTTCCTGTACCACAATCGCCAATAAGTACAATTTTGAATAAATAATCGAAATTTTCATCGTTCGTAGCCATTAAATTGTCCGGATCACGATTCGACATTTCTTTTTGATTGTCGAAATAATTTATCAAATCGGCGACACTCTTTGTAATCCGCACATCCAGACTTACTGCTATTTACGCCATTGTTTCATTTAACTTCACCACTTACAAACGGAGTGCAAGTCCTTCGGGTCATCGGTTTAGTTGTAACTTTGCAGATTTGTAGATTTCTTTAAGCAGTTCAAGAAAATATATCATTATAACTGCAACTACTTTATAGTTTTTAAAATATTTATGATTAAAGTTTTATTACTACTACAACTATTGATTTATTGACGTATGTTTTCGTCCGGCATTTCGGCTCAATGGCGACGAGCAAAAATTCCTATGGTGTAGGTCCGGGGTTCGATTCCCGTCTATAGTTCGTAGCTTTTTCAATCCATCTTTTATTTTGTGTTCATTTTTCGCCCATGAAAACATTGTAAATAAAGAATTGTAAATAAAATTTCTTAATCAAAAATTTATTTTTTACGCTTTCTTATGCTAGTATATATTTGTTACAAAATAATAAGAATAATATGCAAGAAAAACAGTATTCTATAGCAATCTTATTTACCACAGAAAGAACACGAAAATATAAATAATTATTATATATAGAAAATACAAAACCTATCACTGATGTAAGAATTAATTATTAAATTAAACATTGTATAAGAATGTTGCTATAATTCCAACTTTGCTGTTCAGCTATAAATGTTCATGAATTAATTAGAAAAACTTGGAAACTTATTAATTTTCTACTGTCGAATTGATTTCTAGTATCTAGTTCGAATACAAATTTTACCGCCTGCGATCAGCGCCATCTATGATTTTGGACCATTTGTTCCGGAAAGTGATAGGAATATAGAATAGACAAGGAGGTCGACAAAGTGCTGGACACGTGGCAGACAAGGACAGAGAGGGGATAGAAAAGGATAGAATGGCTCCGGCAGTGAAAAATTATTAATTACTCAATTTCCGTAAACAATTTGTGGTCCTTTATAATTTCGTTGCAAAGCTGGAACTTCAGGCTACATTGCTATATAATTTTCGTAAAGAATTTAGCTCTAAATTGTTAGTTATTAATTTTTGCTTTAAGGCGTCCATGATTTCGTAACGGCGACCATCACGACCTTCCGTGAAAATATTTATTACTAAACGAAACTAGAAGCAAAATGTGATCAAAAGTTATATGAGAAGATTCGCAAGAACATTGCCTTTCTAACGAGTGCATAAAGTTTCATACATTATTTGCGTAGAGGATAGTAATTAATGAAAAACCAATGGCGTCTTCGATAACAATTCAAACACTGCGCAGAATAATAATTAATATTAAATTAATTAGGGACAAATTTATATGGAAAAATAAATTGGAAAGTTCTTGAAGGATTTGCCTTTACGATGCAATTATAAAAGTTCATAAATTAATTGCAGGAATTGAGTAATTAATTAATTTTCTAATAAAACTTTAAAAAGGAACAGTCAGCGCCGCCTATGATTTTTATCTGGAAGTTTGTGCTTCGTTAGTTCCAATACATAACTATAGGTGGCGCTGACTGTTCCTTTTTAAAGTTTTATTGGAAAATTAATGAATTACTCGATTCCTGCGATTAATTTGTGAATTTTTATAACTGCGTCGTAAAGGCAGATCCTTCAGCAACTTTTCAATATACTTTTCGATATAAATTTGTCCCTAATTAATTTAATATTAATTATTATTCTGCGCAGTGTTTGAATTGTTATCGAAGACGCCATTGGTTTTTCATTAATTACTATCCTCTACGCAATTAATTTATGAAACTTTATGCACTTGTTAGAAAGACAATGTTCTTGCGAATCTTCTCATATATCTTTTGATCACATTTTGTTTCTAGTTTCGTTTAGTAATAAATATTTTCACGGAAGGTCGTGATGGTCGCCGTTACAAAATCATGGACGCCATAAAGCAAAAATTAATAACTAACAATTTAGAGCTAAATTCTTTACGAAAATTATATAGGAATGTAGCCTGAAGTTCCAGCTTTGCAACGAAATTATAAAGGTCCACAAATTGTTTACGGTAATTGAGTAATTAATAATTTTTCACTGACGGAGCCATTCTATCCTTTTCTATCCCCTCTCTGTCCTTGTCTGCCACGTGTCCAACACTTCGTCGACCTCCTTGCCTATTCTATATTCCTATCACTTTCCTGCTTTTTGAGCCCAAATCATAGATGGCGCTGATCGAAACTGCCGAATGAAAAACCACGTGACACGTTCGGCGGGAGAAACAAAACAATAAAAGGACATAAATAAGTATAACACATTTTTCTTCCTTTTTCTTACCCTCTTAATAGCCCGTTGAACATGAAGTCACAGATGAAGATGCGTGGTTTTATTCTTGGTAAAAAGAAAATGAAACTGCGATGGTTTTAAAGTACTTTTTATTCATTTTGAAAGTTTTACATATACATGTTAATTGTTAACGACATAATAAACAATGACATATAGACATTAGAATCTGAGTAGATGTCCGTATCACGGACCGTTAAGAGTAAAAGATGTTTCGTAATACATATCACGTAATAATTATCATTACAATTACCATATATATATGTACATAATTTATAAACATATGACAAATGATTCTATTCGAATACATGAGTTATCATAATAATTCTTGATATCTCCTATCGTGCACCCCCTCGGCTTTCCCTTGTGCTAAACCTAAAAAGGAGTTTTTTATTCTGTATTCATTTTCCTTTATATCCTTATCATCTTCAACATCATCTATTTTATAATTTTGTACTTTCTTCGGTTCCTTTTTTGTATCTCTCAATGTATTTTTTATCCTTTCCTTTATTGCTCTGAAAATATAAATATAAGAAACAATCAATAAAAATTCCTACTTTCTATAACATAGTTATAATATAAACAATAAACTAACTCTTTCTCTTTCTTTACAACTTCTAATTCTTCTTGAGTTTTTACTTGGTCATCACATTCCCAATCACTACTGCGGCTTTTCTTCCTTTATTTATTTGCAAGTCCAGATGGTTCAACAGCTGGTTGTGAGCTTAATTTTGGATCAGTTAAATGATCATGAGCTGATTTGCCTTTACCAGTAAACTTTTTATTTAATATCACAGATTCTTCTTCATCTTCCTTTGCTTCTCCACCAAATGATAAAAGATTGAAATCTCTGTAACAAAATTTTTCATTGCAAGGAACAATACTATCAGGGCTAAATTCTGCAAACATATATGATTTTTACTTTACTGCTGCTGTTTTACTTTTTTAACTGTCCTTTACTTCTTCACCTTCCTGTACTATTAATCTCGGTATAATATCAGAAAATGGATTGTTCAATATTATAGTTTTTATCAATCTTGAAGTATAAAGTGGCCTATCATTCTACAAAAAAGGGAAATATTATATTTATATCAATTCTTGATATATCTTCTTATAAACATTAAATTTACCTCATCTACAAGTGCTTCTTCAAGTTTAAGCATGATATATATAGTTTCTCCAGTAACTTTACCAAAGATTGTATGTTTATTCAGCAAATCTGGTGTAGAACTAAGAGCAAAGAAGAATTGGAAACCATTCTCATTTCTTCCAGCATTAGCCATAGCAATTAAATCTCGTCGACAAAAATGTAATCTTGTATAAAATTCACCCTGAAACACATATATCCAATAATTATTTTTGAATAGAAAAAGAATTCATTTCATTTCTAAATATAGTCTCACTTTAAATGGTTCTCCATATATTTTACCATCTTCTCCTGTACCTGTTGAATCAACACCTTGTGTTATGAATCCTTCGATAATTCCATGAAATACAGTGTCATCCTAATAACCTTCCATAGATAATTGCAAGAAATTTCTACATGCCTTTGGAGTTTCTTTTGCCCATAATTCTAACTCGATATCATCAACAGTTGTTTTCATTATAACCTAGTTATAACAAATACATTAGTTTTATTAACATAAAATACTTTTAAAATCAAATTTATTAAAATTTATTATTTACTATTGTAATTCAAATTGGAAATTATTTCATATATTAATATAGAAATTTAGAAAGTAAATATTATATATTGGTTAAATTTTTAAAAACAGACATACAGTCCATTAAAATATTATTAACCAAACTTATTACTTTACCCTTAGTGGCTGGCTCTTGGATATAAATATTACCCATGTTTGTAAGTCTCCTATAATAAAAAAAATCCTTCATCAATAATATTTCATATTAAACCTTTAGTCATTTACAAATCCGTCAATCAAATGGTTCTCTTCTCGAATAATCATCAACAGGTAGGACATTTTACCTCCTTTTAACGTTGACTTTATTGATCCAATCAATTCCATTCGCCACAGCCCCATTATTTCTGTTGCTTTTAAAGTTTTCAAGTTCCTATAGACATTTCTACACACTTGTGCCTCAAAGCAGCATTCACGCTCTACATTCAAGTTATCTCTAATTTTTATAACTATTACCAAGTGACCATTCTCCATCTCTTCAATGATCCTTATATTTGCATGTCCATGACACATGTTCTACTCTGTTGGTATATATGCTGCCCCTTTCCTGTTTCCTGATTCGTCATAATATGCAGTCTCTCTTCTCACTGCTATTATTTGAACCATTCTCTATCTTCAGATACCTCAGCTCCATCATTCTGAAACTTATCACCTTAGCGATGATCATTGCCTGTGACTACTGTTATTAATATATATTTAGATCAGCAATACAACATATCTTTCAATCTCACCGTATTCTCTATATTTAGGTGTAATAAGAGGCCATCACCTACATCAACTGCATTCCCTTTCATCTGCCAAAGCCATCTCCATTTTCTGAATTTTTACTAGACCATGAAAGATTTCTATCCTGTACATTATATGGTTAGCCAACCTAGAATCCAACAGACATATCATAACATATCTGTATTACTGCTTCAATTTTTTATCGCTATAAAAGATAATCCTTGGAATCTAATACCCAATGCTGGTGATATTCCATTAGTCCAATATTTTTCTATTGTTGCACGTAACTCTTTAATGCGACAGAATATTGTTTTGAACCTACTTTACGCTGCTACAACCAACAAACCTAATCGAAAAGCCTAGTTTCAGATATAGAAGAGAAAAAATTCAATTGCGCAGCCCGATCTGATAGCCACTGACACGTTCGGCACTATTTTTAGAAAACGCGCACTCGAAACCGAAAAAGAATAACCAATCCCGTTAGTGAAAATTCCACTCTACACTGATAGATAGAAAAATTCGAATGCAAAAGCCGAATTTTAAAGATAGAAAGCAAAAAAGTCAATTGCGCAGCACGATCTGTCAGCCACTGACACATTCGGCACTATTTTTAGAAAACGCACGCTCGAAACGCGAAAAAAATATCCAATCCCGTTAAGGAAGAATTCACTCTATGCAGATAAATGAAAAAAACTGGCGTCAAAAGCCTAATTTTGAAGATAGAAAACCAAAAATAAACTGCGCAGCACGATCTGACAGCCACTGACACATTCGGCACTATTTTTAGAAAACGCACGCTCGAAACGCGAAAAAAATATCCAATCCCGTTAAGGAAGAATTCACTCTACCCTGGTAAATGCAAAAAACCGGTGTCAAAAGCGTAATTTTGAACATAGAAAGCAAGAAAGTCAATTGCGCAGCACGATCTGACAGCCACTGACACTGTCGGCACTATTTTTCAAAAACGCACGCTCGAAACGCAAAAAAAATATCCAACCCTGTTAAGGAAGAATTCTCTCTACGCTGTTATACCGAAAAAATCTAACCGAGAAGCCTAATTTCAGAAATATAGGCGAAAAAAGAGTATACTATGTATAACGATTTCGCAGGCACTTGCTTTTCCGTTACTTTGTTTCATATATGCACCTTCAATCGTAAAATAATCGCCCTAATGGTTAGAGAACAGTCTATTCTATGCAGGGGTAATGAAATATCTTAATCCACAATCAAAATTTAGAATGTAATAGCGATAATACGTAACTATGTTTGCAAATGAACGTGAAGATCGAGAAAAATTGAAAAAACAATTAAAAAGCTGCCTATTCAGTAATGTTGATCAAATATTCCAATGGACAGTTGAAATCTAGAATCTTCTACAGCGGATAATAACGGACAATGCGGTAATATCATAGGATCTCGCACTCACACCACTGTATTTCCCACATGTATCGTTATACGATTTACAGTATGTAACATCACCTTTTTTCACATGTAGTATATTACCAATGAGAAAATGTTCACAGTTAGTAATCTTGAACTTCGTGAAATAATTAAAACGTCAATCAGCGATATCACTACTTTACGAAACGTTTTGAGATTTAATGATTCACTTTGACGCGTGAGAATACTCCATCATTTATTATCGGTATGCCCGCTTGCCGCCAACTGGAAGTTGGCTGCAGCCGGATATGTAGGTATTTTTGTAGCGGGAAAATGTTGCATTTTTGAAGTAGCTATGTGATAAAGCGTCGATGTAGAATATTAAACGATGTCTTTTATATTTAATAATATCAATAAATCATTTATAAATATATTTTTGTTACGAAAAATTCCAAACTTCAATAATTAATTCATGAATTTGAATTATTAATTATTCCATTATACTAATGGAAAGATAACCCATTACTATCTTCGGCAATAATTAAAACACTCTATGCAATAATCACCAATAATAATTTAAATAACAACGAATTCATATCCAGAATTATATTAGATAGGTCACTCAGGCTGTGCCTTTACGATGCAATTTTAAAAGTTGATGAATTAATTATAGATGAACATGAAGTTACAGATGAAAATGAGTGAATTTGTTCTTGATAAAAAGAAAATGAAACTGCAATGATTATATGCTTAGGTACTTTTTATTCACTTTCAAAGTTTCATATATACACGTTAATTGTTAACGATATAATAAACAATGACACATAGACATTAGAATCTGAGTAGATGTCCGTATTACGGACCGTTGCGAGGAAAAGATGTTTCGTAAAATTTATCACGTAATAATTATCATTATAATGACCATATATATATGTAACAATATTTATAGATATATACACACTACCGATTTTTAACTACTGATTATTTATATTTTCAGAGCACGAAGGAAAGGATAAAAAATAAATTGAGATGCAAAAAAAAACCGAAGAAAGTAGAAAATGATAAAATAGATGATGTTGAAGATGATAAGGATATAAAGGAAAATGAATAGTCCTATCACTCTCAGATTTTGAAAAATATGTGTTTTTCTAAAAACGCATGATTTTTAAGTGTGGCCTTTTTCCTGTCCACTTTTTATATGCAGTTGTATCTATTACTTTTGTTGGACTTCTATTTTGCAAATACGCTGCTAAATACACAGCTTCCACCCGCAATTTCTTTTCTATTCCATTGTCATACAGGAGTACTTATGTCGTATCCAATAATGTTCGATTAGGCCCCTTTACATTTCCATTCACTTAAGACGTGTACAGTGTTGTATAATGTTTTGTCATGTACAGTTCTCTCCTTGTTAGAGAATATTCTTATTTAGTACAGTTGGTACGCATAAAATATTCATTGAAACCGCATTTCAACATTATTTTCCTCTTTTTTAAATCCATTTTGTCATATTTTTGTATCACAGAAGAAGTACATTGTTAATTTATATATAATTTTAATTTAAATCATTAATACAAAGTACATGTTTTATCTAAAAATTCTTAATATTAATAATAACACAACATTATGGGTATATTTTTATTTATTAAAACTTCAATAACAAAGACATTTAAATATTATATATATTTATTATAAACATGGTCTTACATAAATGTACTATATGTCTAAACACTTAAAATAATTGGATGAATATGAATAAACAGTTAGTTTCCAGATGTGAATTTTGAAAGACCTTCTAGTAAGCTAACATATGCTGTATGTTCATAATTTGTACTAAACTCTATTAATTTTTCTGCAAATTCGTTTGAAATACCCTTTTCTTCAAGATAATTCATCAGCAAATCATATAAATACTGAAAAATAAATATTACACATACTTTTTTTGGATATAAAAAAGAAATATATTAAATTAATTACAAAAACTTAACAAAAGATGATTGTTACATTCTCTGATATTAATTTTATCAATGATAAAATGATTTCATATGAGAATGTTTTATTTTTCCAAAGATTAATAATCAAATTAGTTACTGAATGTCCTAATTTGTACTCAACTCTTTGGTTTATTCTTTCTAAGAACATACAAAATTACTGTAGGATATAATACTTACTCCATCAATAACTTCACCAGCAACAGCATATACTTTATCATTATGTTCTCCACTATATAATGTGATTTCATCTATACCAAAGATGTCATCTAAAATTATATAATATCTATGAAAAATATATTCATTTAATTATATAAAAATACATAAACTAATAAATTAAAGTTTAATGTTATTTACTGTAGCTATCATTTGCACCCGATGCTCCAGGTTCAGTATTAAAAGAACAAGTGAATCCAAGAGTTTGATTTCCTCTTATTATGTCTACTGAGAAAGATGGTTTACTTTTCATATCTCCAGTATTTTGATTGGGATTGTCCATATCAATTTGAGATTCATCTCCAGATTCAATTGTATGATTTATGTTGAATGAAATTTTAATTCTGTAAAATGAAATTCTTATTAAAAAAAAAATAATTTTTAATAAAGATCATCATGCTTTGTGATGCTACATTATGATACTATTGAATTATGTTATATAATTTGTTACTTTTCATTATTTTGTCTTTTTTCTAGATTAACTTCTGCACCATCAAGTGATACTTTAAATCCTTCTAATTCAGTAGGGATAGTTCTCAGCTTTTGAGCTTCTTTTTCTGCTATAATTTCTTCTGCTAAAAATTCTACAAGCTCCTTCTCAGCTAATAAAAAAACAAAGAATTATAATAAACTAGCAAAATATTAATTATTTAATGATTATTCATAATAAAATATCGTAATATGAATATATATATTTAAAAAATGGAGTTACTTAAATTTAGAAATGTATGGTTTATCATTTATACAACAATGAAAACATAAAATAAGTTAAAATGTATTATTTATACCTTTTGTGTGAGAATTTCTGCAACAACTACAATTACAAAAAATATTTTGAAGCTTAAACAGTTTTACTGAAGAAATACATGTGATTTCGGATTGACGAGGAATATTCCACAGCGCTCTAGATTGATTACTTGCAATTTTCGAGTTCGAAATTGATGAAAACGAATTTCTAATTATCGACGATCGTAAAGTATTTCTTATAATTCCATTCATTTTTAACTTTTACAATTATTGTTCCTTTGTTACCTAGATCTTTGTACCTACAAATTAGTTAAACACGAGGTACACGAACAGCTTCGTCACAAAACAAGAAGATACTTAGTTTACCATTCCTTTATATTGAAACAAATGTTGGTATGGTGATTTCTAGTAATTTCTGTTTAAGGTAGGGTTTGAAATTAATATAGTGAATTTAGTGTTAATATAGTGAATAATATATTCTGTTTAGTAAGAAAATATTAAACACGTTTTATCATCATTTTAGTTTTATATATCTAGGTTGACATTGTGTGTAAAACGGAATACAGTTTCATTCTAAGAAATTCAGTTAAAATTTGGAAATTGTTTAACATTGTTGTACAAAATGTATTCGCTTACAGAAGGAGCATTGGACGTAAGTGTCAACATAATACAATTGATTTATAATTATCCGGTCTTGCTTTAATTAATCAGAAAAAAAAATAAACATATTCATTAAATTATTTTTCTTTGATTAATTTTTTTCCTATTAATACTAAATATTTAAGTACTGAATTTTGTAATTATACATATGTTAATTGTTTTTTAGTAATAATTTATAAATCATAAATGATGCATGAAATTATATTAACCGGCTAATCATTTATTCGGCTAGAGTTTGATTCGGCAAAGACCGGCTAAGCGGAAAACAAATATATTTATATTTTATAATTTATATTTAATTATTGTTTTAAAATTTGAATATTTAACCTTTTTTTGATTTTTAGAAAATTACAAATGGCATTGACGTCGATAAACCGGTATTGCAAATATTGGTAAATAATTTATGTATTTTGTTTGATTTGATTTTTAAATAAAATATCTTGTATTTTTATACAACAACATAATTGAAGACATTTAATTTTGTGAACTTTTAATGTTCAACATGTACTAAAATTATTGTTTCACAGGGTCATAAAAAGTTATCTAGCTCAAGTAGTGGAGAACGTTATAGGCTTCTTGTATCTGATGGAAAACGAGTAAATTCATTTACAATGTTGGCTACTCAGTTAAATTCAATGATAACAGATAACATTCTAACAGAATTTTCTATTTGTCAAATAAATAGATATGCTATAAGCATGGTAAATAACGCAGGTAAACAAAAGTAGGTAATAATTATGTAATATCTTTGTACTTGATATAATTTCAAAGTAAAAAGAAACGTTACATTCTGTTCATTTCAGACGAGTAATGGTAATACTAAATATTGATTTAAAAGTTCCTGGTAATGAAGTTGGACATAAAATTGGAAATCCAACAAATGTTGAAGCTGATGCTGATGCTAAACCACCACAATCTGCACAATCTGTTGAACCTTCTCCTCAAAACCAGAGTAATATGAACCAGACATTGAATTATGATAAATTATATTTATTATATATTATTATAATATTTTATCTTTCAGATAATTCAATTTCAAAGCTTAGTATGCAACAACCTTCAACTAGTGATATATCAACAACTCCTATTGTTGCATTGAGTCCTTATCAAAATAGGTATGTTTAATGTAGTTTTAGTTTAGTATTATAATTTTATGATCCTTTGAGTAAAAATTTGTTTAGATGGGTAATAAAAGCCCGAGTTGTCAGTAAATCTGCTATCAGAACATGGAGTAATTCACGTGGTGAAGGAAAATTATTTTTTATGAATCTTGTAGACGAAAGTGGAGAAATTAGATGTACAGCATTTAAAGATCAGTGTGATAAATTTTATGATATGATTGAGGTAATCATTATTGTAAATTATCATTTGTATTTACTATCTAAATCATAATATTAAATTTTATAGATGGGAAAAGTTTACTACATTTCTAGAGCAACCTTAAAAACAGCAAATAAACAATTTAATAATTTGAAAAATGATTATGAAATGACTTTAACTGGTGATTCAGAAGTTATTCCTTGCCATGATAATGAAAGTGATATTCCATCTCTCCAATTTGATTTTGTACCTATAAATGATATAGAGAAAAAGGAAAGGAATGATATAATGGGTAAATATTAAATTGAAATATATATGATTTGTATATTATATTAATCATAGTATTATTTATTTATTACAGATATATTAGGTATTGTAAAATCTTCTGGTGATTTGCAAATTCTAACATCACGAAATACTGGAAGGGAAATGAAAAAGAGGGATCTTAATATTGTTGATGAAAGTAACACTATGGTAAAAATTTAAAACAATTATTTAGAAGTACCTAAAAAAAAGACTAAAGAATTTGTTATAATTCAATGTTATGATAATAAATTAAATGAGTTATAGGTGACTCTTACAATATGGGGATCACAAGCTGAAGAATTCGATGCAAGTAATAATCCAGTATTAGCTTTAAAGGGGGCACGCGTTGGTGAATTTAATGGAGGAAAGAATTTATCTACTCTTAGTTCAACAGTTCTTCAAATTGATCCAGATATTCCAGCAGCACATAGGTATAGAAGTTATTAGTATATATCTGAAAATAATACTGTTGTCTTTCAAAGTACACAGTTTATACATGATTAAAATGTATTAAAATGTATACTATGTATTTTCATTTCTCTTCATCTGACATAAACTTAAATCGTTTATAACTTAATAAGTGAGCTGTAATTGACATTTTTGTATACGAACTTTAATATTTATTTTGATTTTTAGAATCGATCTTTTGAAAATATTTCATATTGACAGACAATATGAGGGACAACTGTATTGTCATTAAACAATTCCTGTTCTATAATAATACTATTTTTTTATTTTAATATAGATTACGAGGTTGGTTTAACAAGATTGGTCGTAATGAAGAAACTAAGTTACTTTCAAGGGGACTTGGAAGTGCAGGTGGAGGGAATGGACCATGGATCACATTTAAGGATGTGAGGGATATGGAATTGGGATTTAAAGGTCCTGAAATATATACCGTAAAGGCAACACTTAATATGTTTCGTATTGAGAACGCTTTATACAAATCTTGTCCTACTGAAAGTTGTAAAAAGAAGGTAATTGTTATCTTGTACTTTATAAGTATAAGACAAAATAGTTAATTAAAAGACTATATTTTGTAGTTGGTAGATCAAGCAAATGATATGTATAGATGTGAAAAATGTAACAAAGAATACCCCAATTACAGATATCGTTTACTTGCGAGTGTAAGTGTAAATTAAGATTTTGTTTGCTTGTTTAAATATGAATTAAATTTATCAATATTTAACGTTTTTGTAGATGAACTTAGCAGATTGGACAGATCAACAATGGGTTACAGCATTTAGTGAAGAAGCAGAGAAAGTATTAGGTATTACAGCTCAAGAACTTGGAGAATTAAAAGAAAATGATAATGATGCCTACCTTGAAAAATTTGGCGATGCAACATTTAAAAGTTTCATATTTAAGATAAGAGTGAAACTAGAAATGTTCAGAGTATGTTAACTTAATGTAGTAAAAAATTTTAATATTGTTATAATTATTAACATGTTGAATTATTTACAGGATGAGAACAGATTAAAAGCAACGTGTATTAGTGTATCCCCAGTGGATTATAAATTATACAATGACCATTTAATAACTAAAATCAAGGAATTAGCTGGTATTGAAAAAGCTTGAAGATATATTTTTCCTAATGTTTTCTTTATAAATAAGCAAGTTTTTACTTCCTAAGTATTTTCTTACAGTGTTAATTCATTATATATTTAACAAAAACTATATTTCCCATGTATAAATAAATAATACATTTTCACCATTTAATTTTTTACTTTTGTATATTCGTAATTAATTTCAATACTTATGGATAATAAATAAAATTCAAAAAATGTAATTATTACTAATTTTCTATATTATTATAAAATAATCATAGTTAGAAATCAGTAATCAATCTTGAAGACATTAAGAAATTCATTAATTATTAAATTTATTAAATAAATATACGAATAATTACTGTTCAATACTTATTATACATGAAAAATACAAAAGCGTGTCTCGAATAATCTTATGGATAATCTTGCACAGTAATATGATCTACTGCATGTTTTAAGCTGCCTACGTATTCAGAATGATTAATTGGAATCGTTATTATGTAGCAACGTATTATTACTTAACGAGGTCATCGAAACTGTGAGTGTATGAAATTACATTTATTACAAAGCTATGCATAGTTAAAATTAATTCTGTTAAAAATATTGCTATTCATTAAAAAATTACATAAACGTAATTCCATTTGCTCAACGTTATATATTATTACTGTAAAAGCAAAATATTACATATAAGTCTTTACTGGTAATATAAGTACTTATAACAATGACATCATTAGTGTTCTAAATGTGATTATAGTAATGTTATGAATGTCATGAACTACAATATATCACAATAATTATTTTCGAAGTAATTTTATAATTTAAAAAATGATCCATTGATGTCATAACTGTATAAATTATTTATAATGATTTACATCTGCTAATATAATGATTTAAAATGGAATTATTATATCAAGTTATGCCAAATTAGCTGTTTATAACATAGTATATAAATATCGTAATTATTTTATGTATTGCACTATTATTTAAAAAATTTCAAAATTACTAAAATCCAAATATATAAAAACTGAGTCCAACTTAAAGACTTTTTATGTGTTTTAGGTGTAGATAAAAAATATATATTTTTACGTATCATAAAAGTTTTAAATTTAGCTAATATTGTGACTCATTACATACGTTTCATTATCTCTTGCAAATTTCTGCTTAAAACTTTATGTTCGAAGAACATATAACGCGCACGCGCAGGCAGATTGTCTTCTGAGAGTGCCACACCGACGCGTTTTGTCGCAGTTTGAATTCAACCTTCGAAGTGTATGCTTTATTTTTTACGTGTCGCGAGAATTTTTCTTGTCGTCGCTTAGGGTATCATGGCTATATGTAAGTATATCTTTATATTAATAGTTTTTTGAACTTATGAACTACTGAATTATTATCATAATTTTTTTACATAAATAAGTATAATAAATTAGTTACTGACACATTAGTATAAAAATTTGTATACTTAATGTTCATTAATATTCCAAAGTATCATTTTACGATAGAAGTAAAATACAATATAATACAAATATAATACAAACAATGTAAAAAGCAATGAAAATATAAATTTTATTTGTTATATACATATATAAATATGCATGAAAGTACTACAAATAAACATTTTTCTAAGCTAATTATTATCAAATCATAGCCACGTGTATATGAGTATTTAGTTTTAAATATATTAATTTATATTATTTATAAAAGTATATTTATGAATCGTTTTATATTTAAATTATACAATCGAAACATCTTATAGTGTTTTCTAAATATGCCTATTTTTCAGTGCGTAGTAATTATTGTACAAAAGGTAGTGCTTCATGAAATATCAAATTTCTGTGTTTGTACATTTTATTTTTACGTACATAAAATATTACTAAAGTTCACCTAATCAGCTTTAGATTATTCGTAATCTATTCAGTAACAATTATTCATTTTTAATACCCATGATAATTCTTAAAAAAAATTTACGTGTAACTCAAAATCAAGATTCCTTTCTATGATTTATTTCTAATTGTAAATTACTTTTATATTTTGCCTTTATCACAGAAGTATCATTTTTCTAATACCCTCCTTAAACTCGACATAAAAGAATGAAATAAAATCTAGAGAACGCTAGATAAAAAAATAATATTTCTACTTTAATGGCACGAAATATTTAACTGCTGAGAACATTAATCGAAATAGCTTATTTTATCATGTCTAACAACGTATTGTGTACCGACTTATAAGAATTGCTAAAGAATTGGTATGTGTTTACGTGAGAATACTTTAGTACGTAGTTTTTTCTAGTATCTAGCTAAATATAGTATACGGGTGCGGTCGTGCCGGTTTGACAAGCCGGCCGGTTAACTTTCTTAGTTGTAATATGATTTTACAAATTGTTACAACTTTGTGCCACTGCCACTAAAGAAACAAGTTTTTCTCGGTTAACCTAGTTTTCTTGAGTTTCGTAAATTCTTGTAAAAGAATATTTTATTACTTTGAAATTTTAAGCATAATTGAGGACATAAACTTTTTGTTCTTCTAAAAAATTGTCATGTAATTTAAATGACATGGCAGTACTGTCGCGTGTCCTCTATTTTTATACATAATGTGGTGATCTATCCTGTAGTATAGTCTTAATTTTTGTGATTCCGGTATCACGTCATCTCTTAGAGGATTTCTTGTGTAACGACTTCCAGATTGTTTCGCAACTCGCACTTCTACTATTTCTTGTGAGAACTCGCTTGTTTTCTGGGATCCTGTTTTCTAGTTGTAGTGATTTGAATTTTAACCTCATGCCATCAGAAATTGCTACAGTTATTTTAACATATTATTTTATAGTTTATATAATACTTCGCATTTAAATATTGTTTTCGTAAATAAGTTTCTTTTCCAGAAAGAAGGAAAAGGAAATTTATTATATAAATTTTCTCGAGTATAAAATAAGTACATGTCAATTAATAAATATTTGGAATTTTGTTGTTCATTTTTGTTAGTTTAATTCATTTTAAATTTTAATGCTGGATATATGTTCTCAACGTTGGTTAGTACGATCCACCTTGCTGGTAAAAGGAACAGAGTTGCCATGCGAGGTCAGTGACAGTGAAACTCGAATGATTAGTAGGTTTTGCTAGATATATGATCGCCTAGCTATTGGCAACCATGCATTCACAATTGATTAATTTGAATTTATCACATATGAATAATTTGTAATTCTAATAAAATGTAGTTAAGTAAAATTATAAAAGTAGATGAATGAGTTCTTTTACATTAAAGTAGGTTATATCTTCACGTTAATGAAACATTAGAAGTACTAGAATATATGGTAAACGGTGAAACGATGGAACCGACTGGGGATCATTGCGCAATGGAAATTGACTCATTGGCTCTAATTTTTGCATTATTATGCTAATTGCGGGCATAACACGTCTGGTATAGCATATATGGCTTAATTAACTTCACGCATAAAATGAACATTCTGGAACTAATTGTATGAAATTGAATGTATATCGATATTTACACAAGAAAAAGAGAAAAATTGGAAAAATGTTTCACGTAGTATAGTTTTATAATAAAGATAATTATATGTATGTATATACGACATTTTCTTGAATCTAGTTTTTTAACGTTATTAGTGGCAGATATAAATAAATATTACAAATAAAAAATAGTCACAAGGAAGGAAAATATGTCCTTTAAAACATATTTCCAATGGTACATAATTAGAACGTTCTAAGGATATGAAATGTCCATATATTGCGATCTATTGATTCATTTGTTAATATGAAGGTGGCACTGTGATTGTTTAATCTCGACATGAAAGTTTACCACGTCGATCACTTTGAATCACCAGGGCAAAACGTGAAGTAACTGGTATTGAAATACTAATGACATCAGTTTAATGACGTTCTCGCTTAGTGTAACGGAACTTTCTATTATTTTTAATCGTCTTATCGATTGAATTCCTTTACAGTCATTTAAGAGGCTATTAATAAAAAAACTAAATCGTGGTTTTGGATTTCGATAAATGTAAGATACGAGATATAAATTATTGTTTAAAAAGAGAATGCAAGTGCCTACTCAATAATATATAAAAATTGATGGGATTTAAATTACCGACGATTTCTTCTTCGTTAACGATGACACGATGATGTCAGCACCGAACACAGCTTTCGTGAGACAAGCCACTATTTATAAGCGTTGCGTTCATCCAGCAAAATCTCATCGTATGCGTATTATAGAACATTTCGATGAATAGTAGGTGTAACAACGACCATTTCGTCCGTGGATCATCACCATAGTAAGTAGTCTATAAAATTCTATTTTTCCGAATGGACAATTCACGACTGTTAAGAAAATGTACTATAGTGTGCATTTAATGTAAACTGTATGCGCAGTAATAGTGTCACGTGAGCTAATGCTTGATATTCAAATTTAAATTCGAATTCGAAATAATAGAAAATCTATAAATAAACTAATATAAACTAATGGAACTGCATTTAGTATAGTATTCAACTAGATCATAATAGTTGTAGCTAATAATTTTTCCGTAGTGACAGTTTCTATTGTTAATAACTAACGATCGAGATAGGTTACGAAATTTAGAATTTTGAGTGCGGTAATTAAAAAAAGCTAAAGCTGATGGATTCTAATAAATGTAGAATATGCCTGCTTTCTGGGTCTGTGCTTTTGCGGAATCTTATGATGGAGACGATCGCATTAGCGTTAATTTTCACATACTTCGGCTCCCAGTTGCTATCGTTGCTTGAATTACCAGGTAAATTTTCAAGATAATAAATCAAATTCTCGATAAACATAAAATATTTTTAAAAAACTAAAAAAAATACATTCGATAAATAATTCATGAAAATTGAATTTTTACATCGAAAATCAATTTTTTTAGCAAATTATACGCCATTTTTAAAAATAAACTCCACTTTTTAAGGTGGAAGATATATCGCTTGATACAGTTCATTAAAAACGAATGCAATTTTCATGAAAATTTATATAATATAAACTCTTTAAAAATAAGATAATAAAATTTACCGATTTAAGACATGAACACATTCGTTATGACATTTCTGCATAATTTGGTAAGTCAGGAACAGGTTGAATTTATAACCTTATGATAAAATCGTTTACAGCTGGTACTGCATTCGAGTGATACCTTTAAACAGGACGAATGCCTCATTCATAACGACCAGGATTGCACTAAATTATATTTCAAAATATCAGAAATTTAATTTTTTAAATCGTGTGAATTTTAATTAAATCGTATGCCATAAATGACATTTGATGATTGGGTCGAGATTGTTGGAAAAGATTTGTAGTCAAGGAATGCGTGACGACGTGATCTAGACTTAGCAATTACGAACACGATATATTGATCGATGTGAGTCCTGCATTGCCCTACTTTTGTTCGTCACACCGGCGTCTGTATGGGAAGACGCCTGGCGTCCAAATGTCTGGACGTTCAGAATTCTACTTTTCTTCACTATTGAAGAACTAAATAAATATTCTTTATTCTTTTGTGTCTAATTTTAAAAATATTTAATCCAATTAAAAATATCTAGCGTTCTCCAAGTTAAATTTCATTAGTGTCATCTTTGATTACCATTAAAGATTAATAAATGCTTAGGAATTGTACAATGATGATAATTAATACTAATAAACACTATTAATTGAAATTTAAATATTCTGGATATATAACTAAAAATTTGTTTTGTTCCATTTTATAGCACTTTCTACTGAGAACAAATTGGAATACAATTTCTATCCCGTTGCAAGTGGGCAGCTCCAATTTCGCGTGAAAACTTCAAATGATGCTCATATCGCTCTTACGACAGGCCCCCAAGAGGGAGAACCTATGTATGAGGTAGAAATTATTTAATTTATTAAATAATTATTTAAATAAATAAACCAAATTTTAATACATTGCGTGCATTAACATTTCAGGTTTTCCTTGGTGGTTGGAGTAACAGCAAGTCCGTAATCCGTAAAAATAGAGTAAAGCCTGATGTTGCCGAGCTAGATACTCCTGGTATCCTGAGTGGCGATGAAATGCGTGGTTTCTGGATCAGGTAGATTATTTGTTTTAATCACCAAGTAAGAGCAATGGTATTCAAATTGACAATAAAATTCTCTATATCTTTTTTATTTTTTTTGTTAAACTTTTAATTTGCTCCAATGACTGTTTCTAATATATCTTATGAAATTATAATAATGTTCTTGTTATGCAAACTTTTCAGGTGGGGTGATGGTGTTTTATCAGTTGGTAAAGAAGGTGAACCAAGTGCATTCCTAACTTATGTCGATCCAGAACCGTTTGGAATCGGTTACTTTGGAGTATGCACCGGTTGGGGCGCTAACGGTGAATGGTTAATCGAAGGTAAAGTTATTTTCTTTTCTTTTTGTGCTTCGTATTCTTAAACATTCTTGTCATTAATTAAGTTTAGGCTCGACATTTATCATAGTTGACATTCAGAAATGGTTTTTATGGAGTTGTACCATAGGCGCGCTGATTTTTATTTTTTAGAACTAATGGCCTTTGTAAATTTTATTTAATACAACTGTAAATCGCAGACTGTAATTATTTTTCGCTCAGAGAAATATTCGCATATTATTGCAACTTTTACCAAAGCATGTTCGAGGAAAGTATTTAGATTACCGTTCTCAATTTATTAATACAATTTTCTTGCTGGTATTTTATTGGATTTTGGACGGACTCTACTAACGCATCAACGTCCATACAGCCATATGTGTAGGTGGTCAAGATCACTGTACGTAAAGTATACGAAGCCTGCCAAGAAACAGTATCTGCATTCGTGTTCTTTTAGACGTTTAGCTTTTCTGCTGAAATATGTTTGGTCCTAGCACGTTTCCCCTTTATCTTGAATGGTGTCGAATTAAAATTACCTTCCAGCATTATTTTGTGCTCCTCGACTGTTCCATACCTTCAATATAAATATCTACATTACATATTGAAATATTTGTATAATTGGACACCGTTTAATAAAAAGGACACATGCACGAGAAAGAAAATGTAGATCACACGTAGTCACGCTTATATCTTGCTTTAGTATAACTAGAAGCACTCGAGCTTTCAGACTTACAATCGAAACGACTGAAACTTTATCAATTGAATATCCTTAGGGTAAAATCACTATAAAGGTACAAAAGGTTCCAACACATTCCATCTGCTATATTTGTTACTGATTTATATAAAAACTATAATGGACATAAATGAAAAAAATTAAAGATTCAATTTCAAATCTTGATTTGAAATGAAATTTTTTTTTTCCCATAAGGACGCGACCGTCTGTTCACGCTAAATGAGTTAGTCTACAAGTTTCACAATGTAAGAAGCGGTTCGATACTCATCGAAGTGAAGGCTAAGAGCAATGCGCACATCGCTTTGACCAACAAAAAAGGCGATTCGAGCCCAATGTACGAAATCATACTCGGGGGCTGGGAAAACACAGCATCCGCCATCAGATACAACCGTAAACAGCCTGATAAGGTTCGAAGTCGACCAAATTCAAAATTGTCCATTTGATTATATCGTTCCTTCAACCTTCTACTCGATAAAACAATTAAGTACGAAAGACCATTAGGTTTAATAGATTTTCTCTTTATTTTACTTCATTTGTCTTTCTTATTTATGCTTTTTATCAGTTAAAGTTAAAAATATATTTGCATCGTATACTAGAATTAATACTATAAAAATACCAAACGCATAGAATATCAGATATAAATTTAGTAGAATACAAGCAGAATTTGAATTGATTGAAGTTTAAGTTTCGGGTTAATTTAACAAGATCCCGTTTTTTCGGGTATTGAAAAATTAACTTTTGCACCGACAGGTGCATGTGAACACGCCGAATCTGCTGAACGAGTACGAAATGAAGAAGTTCGCGATTTGTTGGCTTGATGGTCGTATCACGGTCCGAACCGGTGGTCTTAGCGGTTCTATGATCGTGGAATGGCAGGATCCTAATCCGATCGGCATAAGCTACTTTGGTGTGCGCACCGGTTGGGGAGCAACCGGCAAATGGAAACTTCAAACCGCACAGAATCCACTCCACCCGACTCCCAATCATAAAAGTAATTTGTCTATTCAATTTATGTTTCTTTTTTTTTTTCGTTTCCTTCATTTCAACTTGATATCTTTGATAATAGAGACGATCAACTATTGGGTCGCTTGTGGGTGTTGAAACTTGTGTTTGAATATTTTGATATTTATTAAAAGGATACGGTTTACAAGCTCTAGATATTTAGAGAAATATGTATTGTACGAGAATATTTTGTTTTTTGTATTCGTATTATGTTATTGGGAATTTTAGAGCTAAATGGTAACTTGAATCGCTAATTGCTTGTCATGAAATCTTACCCAATTATCCTTTTCTTTCACGATGCACTCTCTATTTTTTGCTTCCTCTACAACGGATCTTAGGATCGTTAAACGATCAAATTGTTCTCGCTTGGGTGCCAATATCAGAATTAACACTTTACCGATCGGTCTTGCCCATAATAAACAATAATTCGCTATTAGAATATTCACTCTGAGTAAATGGAATATTAGCATATAGATTTTAAAAGATTATAATAATCGTTAGCCTATTTATTATTGTAAATTATATTTTTAAAGCGTCAAGCGTGGCATAAAAATGGATTGAAACTTAACTTTACCTCGTACGTCATTTGTGAGTATATGGACATTGGTGTTCTTGATTGAAAATGCTTAGTTCAGTTAGCACACCAATTGTCGTGTCCGGTCGTTAAAGTATTAACATGTTCATTGCGTGTTATGCGTATACCCCATGAGGAGGTCCATTGCTAGTTGCATCGAATACGTCAAATGTTAAAATGTCCTCTTACTCCTTACATGCATCAATAGTCGAAGGTTTTCAATGTGCAATACACGTATTAAACATTTACACCCACAAGAGGACAATCATAATTTCTGAAAAAGTAATAATCTTCATTTTCCGTGTGTGTAAGAGATTAGTTTGATTAAATATAATCATGGTGATGTACATACAAGTGTATATCTGCACAGTGTATAAGTCACGTTATTACATCAGAGTATAATAGTAGCAAGTATGCCGAGGTCATCGTATCGTTTTCTCTTGCACACCCATCATTCTTCACATACCTTCGTCTGATTGGTTTTCACTGTATTATAACATTCTTCATTGATTTTAAATATCAGTTGTGACGTGATTCATCCCATGATTGATATCGTTATTAATACAATTCTGTCGAAACCCCATGAAAACTCGCTCCGAAAGGAAATCATAATTATTCTTATCGTCGTTATTTTGTATACATTAATCGTTTTCTAAATGTATCATTACTGTAAACAATAACAAAGTCATAAATGTCCTATTTCGTATACTTCTTTCAAGTATACGAGGCATGAAATATTGCATTAATTAGATGTATTAGAAAGCATATTTCCAGAGTTTTTATAGTTTGCTTTTTTAAAAGGATTCTTTTTTTGTGCTTTGTATAAGTGCTGTTCAACATAAAATGTGACAGGTGTTTGTATTTAGCATATGTAATGAAGGTAAAGTAAGAGAAACCTGCTTTTCGCACAAATAAGAGTTGGGTAGCGTTGCCTGACATCCTCAATTAATCTCATACAAAAAATAACAAAGGAAGTAATTTGTGACCATCTGTGGCTAACATGTTTTAATGACACCTGTTTGTAGATGTGAACCCATCAGCCCCATCTCCACCGGTGGAAGGAGTATTAGATATTGGAGACATTTGCTGGTGTGGAGCAGCAGGTGGAATACTTCCTCCAGGTGCAGTAGAAGGGGGAAAAGACGGTGAACCCCTGTACGTAGGCAGAGCTTATCACGAAGGTGCCCTTCTGCCTGGCAAAGTAAAGCCAGGAGACAGTGTCTGCTACGTAGCTTGGGGTGGTGGCGAGCATGCAAAGAGTGATTACGAGGTAAAATGATAAAGCAGTTTATCTCGTATTAATTAGTACCATTTTGTTATTCTTTTAAAAATAGTTATAGTTCAAAAACAATTACAATTTGTCGATTAATTTTTGATCTAGGTTCTCTGTGGTTGTAATCCTGCATGGGTGCAAGTAAGCGATAACAACATTCCTCGCAACGCGATTCCAGCTGGTGAAACAGAAAGCGGAGAACCACTTTTCGTCGGACGTGTAGAACACGAAGGCACTGTGACAATCGGCAAAGTACAACCCTCACACAGTGTGTGTTACATACCGTATGGTGGTTCTGAAATCGCGTTCCCTCAATATGAGATCATGGTTCAAGGGCATTAGATTAGAGTTGACTACACCGACGTCGATGAATCTGCCAATGAATTCCAATCGCTTTCAGTGATCATATTTTTTAGCACGATAAAATACCGGAAGTGGATTATATCAAAAATTTAAAAAGGGAAATGTATTTTACATGTAGATAGCTATCTTGTTCAATGATTGCGTACCTGAAAACGTATGAAAATATTGCAGCTTAGTAATCGAATTTCGATTGTTATTATTAAGAGAGGAAAGAGCAATATATTACGTATTATAAGATTAATGAGAATGTCCTATGTGTGCAAACTAGTCTAGTTACAAATGGGCGGTTTTTTATTCATGTTCATCGATTAGTTGGTGTATAATGGGTATATACTTCTATACCGAATATAATTACCATCACATTAAAGTAGAACGCATAAATCAAAAACTGGCAATATATATTGTATAGTTTAGCCCTATATGCGCTACTAATTGGCTAATTATCTTTCAATATTTATGCAGTTTAAAGCACATGATTGTTTTATTCTAAATGAGAATATTATAAAAAAACATTTTTCTGATAACCATTTAGTGGTTTGATGCACAATAGTGTTCGCTTTTCTACAATCGTTTTAAAGTCTGTACTGTTATAAAACAATAAATAATATTTAGAAAAAGAGAAATGACGCATTTTTAATTTCCTTGTAACTTAAGATTTTGAAGGAAATATTGAGATGTATTCCCTTTACTTTATTGCATGTTTTTAAAATTATATAACTTTACACAATAAATATTCAAATACGTGTTAAGGTTGTACAATATGTTTTTTCGCTTGGAAGATAATCGAATAACATTATGAACTGCGATATAGTAAGTTTTTCAAATGCACTTAGATTGGTAATCCTGACCTGAAGTTTGTGGATTTCGTCACCAATAAACCGGATTTAATAATGGCGGCCAATCCGTCATGGCTCGCCGTTAAATGTCAATCGGAAAAGAAAATTTTAAAATAGTGGTAGATCGGAAGTATTTTCTTTATAAAAATGGCTACAAACGAGCCTACTACCATCGATGATGGTATTGCCGAGCCAGGTATCGAACCCGGTGCTTCTGCAGAAACGATGCTTGTCACGACCGACAGTTTTGAAGAATATGAACAAGAAATGAGTAGTAGTATCGATGATAGACAAATGAAAGAAAGCACAACGAGCACTATTTCAGAAATACAAGAAGACGTGCAAGACATTCCAACTACTCCTACTACGTCCAGTCCACGAGAACTTCAAAAAACAGCTTCACTCGATGATTCCGAATTAGTATGTTTTATAACCTCTATTTTATGGAACACAATAAATATTTTTCAACGAAAGAAGTATACAAAATTCAAATAATAAATACCTTTAATATTAAAATTTAATTTTTTTTAATTATTATATTACAAAATTTTTAATCAAAAGTTTTTATTATTAACTCTTTTAATCAAATTTGATTAATTTAATTAACTTCTATGTTATAGGAGGATGTTACACATCGATTAGGTCAAAGTAGTGTAGATTCAGATCCTTTACGTTGCAAGACATGGTTAGCACAAAAAAAACATATATTTATTTTAAGCCAAGCTGGAAAGCCCATATACTCTAGATATAGTTCAGAAGATAAACTAGTCACAGTTATGGGTGTCATGCAGGCTTTAGTTTCATTCGTCCAAGCTGGCAGTGATATGATTAGATCTGTTCATGCAGGAGATACTAACTTTGTATTTGTTGTTAAAGGTCCATTGATTTTAGTTGCAGTTTCAAAAACACTTGAAAGTGTACCTCAACTTACATTACAATTAACGTATGTATATTGTAATAGAATAAATACTACTATATTTAATTTTGTTAAGACATTTAATCTATAAATCTTTCTATGACAGATATGTATATAATCAAATAATCTCCGTGTTAACCCAGTCACAGTTAACTAAAGTATATGATCAACGTAGAAATTTTGACTTAAGAAGATTGTTAACTGGTAGTGAAAGACTGATAGATCATTTATTAAATTTTATGGATAGAGAACCAGCATTCTTTTTAGGAGCAATCAAATGTTTGCCTTTGCTTCCCTCAATGAGAAGTTCTATCACACAAACTATCAGTCAAACATGCAGTAAAATCAAGGTACTATAGTTTTGAAAATTAATTTAAATTAAATTAACAGTTCATTCAAAATACTGTGCAAATTGTACTAATCAGACAAATATAACACTTTTCAGAATTTAGTATTTGCAATACTTCTAGCTAATAATCAGTTGGTAACATTAGTTAGAATGAACAAATTTTTCCTACATCCTATGGATTTACACATAATACAAAATTTGGTCGACAGTTCAGAATCACTTAAAACTGCTGAGAGCTGGACACCAATATGTCTACCAAAGTTTGATGCCAATGGTTATATGTATGGACATGTATCATACCTGGCTGAGGATTGTCAAGCATGCTTATTGTTGCTCACAATTGATAAAAATGTATTCTTTGTTCTTTCTGAAGCAAAACAGGTAGGTTATATATAATATGTCATATAAAGCTATACAAGTCTTCAAAAAAATAATAACATTAAGGATAAAGAGAAATTTTATTTATAGAAAATTGTAGAAAAATTAAGACGGACAAATTGTTTGGAAGCAATTAATGAATCCATGAATAAACCTCTAATTAAAACTGCTGATATTGGATTGCCAGAAATTCGGCATGTTTTATATAAATGTAGAAGCACAGCACAATTTTGGAGTCCTGGATTTCAACCTCCTTACACAACTGATGAAGAAATAGAACGGTAACATTAAAAAAATGTAAAATAATCACATTGAAATGTAGTAGTGGAAAACACCTTACATGATGTCTTTTTAAACAGATTATTGGGGTTTTATCAATGTTTACACCATAGGCTACATAGCCCAAATCGACCATTGAAACTCATATTCCAGCAATTAGATAAAGAGACTATGTTAGCATGGGTAAGCTCGATTAAATGGTACATAACATGATAAAAGTTATCAAAGTGTTTGATATATAACTGACATATATGTATTTTATAGGTAGCATTAGGTTTTGAGTTATATGTTACATTTGAACCACTTGTGACAAAACCTGATGCAATTGAAGCAGTGAGTAAATTGTTGAAATGGATAAAAAAAGAAGAAGAAAGATTATTTATTTTAAATTCACCTACATTTTAAAAACTGATAAAATATGTTTTAAAAAGTTACAAAACTATGTATCTGACGGATATAATTCGAAATAACGTGAAATGCATTGTTTGATAATTGTTTATATTGATCTGATGAACTATAAAGAAGAAATTACTGCATACAAAATAGATGCATTCGCGTTTTTCTCATGCAATGATACTATGCTTTGCTCACTATTTTTAATTATAAAAAGTACTGTGGAGGTACATATGTGAAAATGTATATATTTAAAAACATTACACATGTAATGTGGATTACAGTTATAGACAGGCTATGATATTCTCAACTTATTTTATTACATGGTGCTTGAGAAAATTTGTCATTGTGTTGTTAAAAAACAATTACTTGAAATACAATATCTTTTTATATCATTTAACAAGTAAATTGTAAGTTTAAAATAATTCTGTATTAACAATCACAGTGATAAATTTTCCTTGAAATTTTGTAAATAAGTATAAAAGCAACGGCTATTGTTTCACAATCTTATAAAGTTGAAAATAATGATTCCAGATAGAATGAATAGTGTAATATTAAGAAACGAAGAAACAAATATTGTCACTTACAACATGTAATGTACGGGTATTATAAGCTACTATGTAGCGTTTCTATCGATAAATGCTATAATTTTAATACAAAACTATTCCTTGTAAATGTTACGCACTACTGTTAATCATGACCGAAGTGTAGTACATACGATAAAAAAATTTAAGAGTTGTATCATTTTGTGTTCTTTTATTTACCTAATAGTTATAAAAGTTAGTTACTATGTTCTGTACAACATTTGTCATATCTCGACATTTCAATTTAATGCCTAGTTCTGTCACGTTCTCGTCTTCGATCTCGATCTCGGTCTCTTTCTCTATCCCTATCATCTCTTCTATGCCGCTCTTTATCCCTATCTTTGTCCTTATGCGAGGAAGAATGGCTTTTAGGCGATTTGCTTCGCTTACGTTCTCGTCTATCTCTGTCTCTATCCCTACTTCTTGATCTTTGTTTTTCTCTGTCAGATTTTTTATCAGAACGCGAATGTCTTTTATCTCGATCTCTATGACGATCTCTATCTCTATCGTGATCGTCTATTCTTTTACGAGTATCCTCTTTGATTGGAGGTATGTCCTCATCCTCCGAAGATTCTATTCCTTCATCCATATCATCCTCTAATGCAGACACTTTTGCTTCTAAAATGTATATTTAAATGTTTTAATCAATTTTTAATTTTTATCTATGTGCTTATAAATTTAAGGTTTACCTAATTCATTGTTTTCTTCAAGAACATGTCTTTTTTGTATTCTTGGTAAAATTACGTCACAGCATCTTTCTTCCCTAAGAAGGTCATCTATAAACTCATCCATGTGAATCAATTCAAATTTGCCTTGCTTATTTTGTCTTCTTAATTTTCTATTATCGTTAAATAGTGGTTCTAAATATTTATAACAATCTAAAGAAGATCCTGTCAATCTCATGTACAATGCTCCTAGAGCACGAACATATTTAAATTCTTCATTTTTTATAAATTCTACTATAATATCTTTTTCAGGTTGTATCTGAAGCATTTTCAATATTAGACACAGAAACGGTGTTGGTTTAACATTACCGCCATATACACCACCTATAAACCTAAACACGTTTGTTTTTATAAATAATAGGTTATGTTTTGTTTTAAATTATTAAAAAATGTTGGATATAAATTGTAAATACGATATGTTTAGACATTAAACACAATTGAATAATATATTACATATATAAAAACAACTTCTTTAATTACATATTTGACAATAAACATTTACTAACCTTAACTCCATGGCTTTGTCGACTAAAAGTTCTGCTGTTAAAGCAAAACATTCTTCTTTCCAATATTTCGAATCGTACACACGAGATCTAATTATTTTTTCTACTAGATACTGAGGATTTGTTCCTCTAATAGATTTTGCATCTTTTACTGTTCTATTAGCCATTTTTAAATTATGTTTAGGTTATAAATATACTATTTTCAAATCCTACTTTGAATAACGTAGATGGCAATCATGAATTTAATCTTCTATCCCTAGTGGTAACAGAATATGCTTCATAGGGAATTTTTTGATAGTTGCATAATTTATTCAACTTATAGTCTTCTTGAAATACGAATATAAATTGAACGTTCATTTCTTTCAAAAATTTGTAAAAAAATGTATAAGATAATATATTTTATAGTAATAATCTTTCTTAATTATTTAACTTTCATACTGTAGAAATTAAAGAAGGGAAAGTAACATACTTGCATAGAATTGTAAAATTGGGCCATTTCTATAAAATATGCACTTGCACATTAATAGTACTGGTAGATATTATTCTTAGTGTTTCACAAATTTCTAAACACGTACTTGAATAAAAAGATCGATAAATTCCATACCAATCAAGCATTTAAATAGCTTTGATTTATTATAATAAGTCTTGAACAAGCATTGCAGAAGATATAATAAACTTGAAAGATACAGTCAGCGTTATCACGTCATCATGAAAATATGTTGAACCTGGTATCGCGTGAAGGAGTAGTTTTCTTTGAATTCAGTAATTTATAACAATTTTTAATTACTTATTTCCTTATTTCTTAAATGTTTCTGCATTATAAAATTCGCTTTTCTCAGAACATCAAACTCTCTAACATTATAAACAACAAAATAGCTAAAAAAATTCATATCGTTTATTTAACATTTTTTAACAATTTTTAATATTGTCTACCGTGATTATCAAGTACCATGAACGTAATAGTTACTTGAAATTCGCAATTATTCATATTTTCCATTACAGCAGAGACTAGCTTAAGAAGAAAAGTCTACGCATTAGTCGATATCCCTACTCCATGTATCGGTACCATAGCGACGTCGCCTTTCTCTTGAGTTCAGGGCCCGTAAAGAGGCCCCATTCACAGTTCTCGTCTCATTTTCTCGCGCTAGTCTCCCTCCTTCCTACCTACCTGGCAACCTCAGTTCACCTGAACAGCCATCTTGAACTACACGCCGCGTTATCATAGCTTGTCCTCCTTAAAACGTATTTTCCATTTGTTGAGGTGATCAGCCGCGTCGACTTATAGCTAGCAACGGCTATGTGAGCCAATGCAACGGGTTGACTCTAGTATCTCGTAGTCATTTCCTCTGTCCTTGTTAATTCTATCTTTTTACGTGATCCTGTTCGCGTATGAAAGGAGTTTATTCTTCTCAAATAAATATTTCAGTTAATTTCCTTCCGGTCTATACGGGATAAATTTACTTCTTCACCTACTGTTTAGTGTACTCAAGAGAAGTGAAGGTTCCTCCGGGAATAGAATTCAGTGAACTGGTGAAGTTAGATGATTGTTAATTCGAAACAGATGTCTTCCGAAGTGCCTTGAGCGGTGTCTATCGAAGGTGAGAGGAGAAGGTACGTCGAAGATTAAATTAATCGAATTTAAAAGAATGTTTACGAGTTTAGTAGTGTATAAATTCAATACCTTTTATAATATAATTAAACCTGTCTTAATTTTTGGGGGTTTCACAAGTACTAAGATTCTTCGTGTTTTTTAAATATATAATGCAATATATTGCATTATTATTTTTATGTATCAGCATTTATTATTCTCATTTATGTATAAACCTTATTCGGAATTTTTAATTTCGTAACTCTCGATCGAGGCCAATGAGCTGGTTTCGATTTTAAATTCGTACGCGATCCAAAATGCGCGCCTCATTCTGTGCGCTGTTTACAAACTGGTGCATCAATTAGTGTATTCTACCCACGCTCTTACAATATACAGAAGTGTTGATATTCGAATTCGGTTTATAACTCACGAAGAAAAAATAACTCCTCGGTCTTTTCTTCGTAAGGGAAAGAATATGGTTAACACGAGTCGCATTCTGTTCCATTCCGATCAATAGATCGATACAAGGAAAGTCTGGCTGCACCTTCCTAAACGGATCGGTGAATGTTCCAATGTAAATGTCACAAGCGGCACTAACTTGTTTTAATATAAGAACGAATACTGAACAAGAAACAGCATGATCGATGATACAGAAACGTTAAAGACGGCTAACTCATGAAGGAAGTATGGTTACTTTGAACGGTATAGCGCGTTCTTAAGATCATCGAATCTAAAAATACAAGATTTCCGAAACTGTAATTTGAGATATTTAGAAGAAGATAAAGCGTTCGAACGTCAGTATCGCACGATGTCAATTTGGTCTTTCTATTGCTGCATATTGTTGTCAATGGTTTACGAAAAGTTCAAATTCTTTTAGATATAATAATATATTCAACAGACTTTAATGATAGCAAATTAGTAGTAAATGGTATGTTAACAATCTAAATTAAAGGTGAAAATTATTCAAGTTCTTTTTCGTTCGACTCTTTAGCGTTAAATACCTAGAATTACAAATTGTAGACGATCCTGAGGCGGCGACTTCAACGGTATCACTTCAGCATTTATCGGGACCGTTGTGTAATACAATAATTTGCAAGCGCGCTATATCGTTCGAACCAACCATATGTGCTTCCGCCCTTATCGACCTTAAAGAAATCATCTTTACGATGATTATAACGACCTTTATGAAATGAATTAGGTAAATTTCAATTAGATTTCTGTTTAAGAATGTAGGTAGACTATTATTATAAATATTTATGATATTTTTATAGAAATTGAAAAATTTGTAAAACTGTCATTGGTAATCCTTGTCATTTATTTTCATGTCATATTTTGATAATTAAAAAATTTAAGTATTTTAGTAGAAAATAATCAATTATTGTATTTAACTAGTAACAACATGGGTTCGAAAATAGAGTATGTGGAATCCTCTCATATGTACGCAACGAATTACATTCGTAATTCGAAGGCGATCGGCGTTCTGTGGGGTATTTTTACTATATGCTACGCCATAATAGGAGTCGTAGCTTTTGTCACACCAGAATGGCTGGGAGACTTAGAACATGAGAATCCAGGGAGATTTGGCCTCTGGACAAGGTGTAGTTACGGTGGTAACGGTAAGTTGATTTTTTTTTTTCAATGTTAAGAGTCATTATCGCAATTTTTATTGAATTCGATTAATCAGTGGCGTCTATTCGTTTGACTTCTCAGGTGAATTGGGTGAAGAATGCATAGGCCGATTGGACGATCTATCGACAATCGCAAACATTCCCTTCAGAACAAGCACCATTCTAGTCGGCATTGCTGTCATAATCGCTCTATTGACGATTTGCGCAATGCTTCTGTTTTTTTTCTGCCAGAGTACAACTGTGTTCTACCTGTGCGCCTGGATGCAAGTGGTTTCAGGTAATTTTTGCTTCTGTTACTACTACTAATACTGTCACTGGTAGTATAATGTTATTGTTATTTCTTTTATTTTTATTTAATATTTACTCTTGATAATGCTGATATTATTATTACTATTATTATCGACGATGAAAATTGCGCTGTATGAATTATAGGTCTTCAAACTTGATTAACATTAAAATATTTGATGTTTTTTAGTAACAATTTTTTTTTTATGGACATACCAAATTATAATTGGTGGATTAGATATTAAACATTCTGCAAAATTTATTACAGATTTTTATGAAGCTTATGTAAAAGCATCATGGTGTTATCATATACTGTATTATTACAAATAATAGAATATATTATAAATAATACTTAATGCTAGTCAATAAATACTAGACATTGAGATTAACAGGTGAGCATGTATTGCATAATACGATATTAAAAAGAGCCGATGTTGATCGATATAATCAGGAATCACATTACGTGTCGTGGTAGAGAGGAACTCGAGCGTAATGAACGAGTTCGAAGGGAAGAAAAAATAATTGATCGAATGGAGATGTTTGAGTATCGTATTAGAAAGTAAATGCGACTGAGTTTTCTCGCGAGCTATTGTCATAATCATTCGCGTAATACCTTATCATCGTGACGCTGCTGAAAATGATGGCGATGCACCGGGTCAGGGGGTGATGCAATTGTTTTGCTTAGCACACCCTTCTGCTTACCACGAACTTTATTTGTCAACTAAATTTTATATATATCTCATCAGATTATAACACGTATGATTAGATTCAAATAAAATTGATTTTAAATTTAATAAAATGCAACTTAACATTTCTAATTAATTGAACAATATTAACTACACTAATTCGTCGAGTTAAATCTTGCATTAAAATACTTAGATTTTGCCATAGGCTAACGTGAATATTGTATACATAGAATTTTTATTAGCGATAAGGGTAACTCAAATCATTGCGATTATACACCAAACGACAGTTAATGGTTTTTATCGCGAATTGCGTTTTTCTACGAGTAGAAAGCGTTTCCTGTCCGCGAGACTATGCTTACGAAATACATAACACAACAATGCTATAATGAATGCTTGGTTATCTGTCACCGGGAAATGTGTCGTTGGAAAACACGAATTTAAGGAAAAAGAACTACTTTTTTATGAACTCTCTAGTAAAGATGTTTTAGATGAAAATATAGAATAGATTGTTATAACGTGGCTGATTGATCAAAGTATTTAACGTATTTAATAATAATTTTATATATATATTATTATTATTATTTAATATATCTTTTAGTATATTATAAATTGACAAAGAATATCTAGAAAATTCTTTATTATTTAATTTTATAACTATCTTCACAAAGAAATCGTATACTTCTTTTTTAAACATTTCTCGTTTTACAGATTTTATTTATCTTGATAAAAGGCATTGACAAATTATATCATATACGAGTAATCGACAGAAAGTGAAACCGGGATTAAGTTTTACGTAAGAATTGGAATTATAGATGAAAAGCTACAAATAGCATCATCGTTGATTGAAGGTATTACTAACAATCGTAGCTGGTTTATACGCCGATAGTGAAAGTCGGTGGTAGAAATGTGAATCAGCTTGAAGAGGAGGGAAACGTTTCACCCAGAAATTAACTGTACACTATAGTACATTACAGCGACTAGGAAATGGAAACTTTCCATGTAATACAATAGTCATAACTTCCGCTATAATTTCCATATCAATTTTAATCAACTATTTTTTCTTCGACATTTTTATAAAATATTTAAAGAATGTCAGCAGTGTTTATTAGCAATTTGAATTTTCCGTGTATTATTTAAAAATTATTATTATTTAAAGTTTTAGCAAAATTTGTTCATTATTCGATTTCAATTAATACATTTTCATATTAATTATTCTTTTGTTTCTTTTACTGCAAAGATTTGTTTTGTTTTATGGAAAGATGAACAACGCTGGAAAAGTAAGATTGTTGGCACCTTTCACTGTTGACCTCTAACACAACATTCGCAATAGGAGATAGTTCACTTAAATACCAGCCCTGTTATTTATGTTCCCATTCGACGAACTGTAGACTCGAGAACGATAACTTGAGTATAAGTTATGAATAACTTTAACGTTGTTTAGAAATCCGAATGCTTAAATTATGTCCGAGAGTAATAATCGCATTACTATTTTCTAATAAGAATAGTTATTCAAAAGATAATGTTCTTTCTTTTATTTCAGCGATATCCATGGCCATTGGAGTCTGTATTTACCCTCTGGGTTGGGATTCACCATTAATTCGAGCCGTTTGCGGTGCAGCTGCATCCAGGTATCAATTTAGACTTCTAACACATGATAATAACCGGCCAATTTCCAGTATTGCAATTTATTTTAATTATTCTATTTGGTAGAATAAATTGAAAATGGTACTTTCCTTAATTCTTTCGGTTATTATTTATCGGCTATTATATCGGAATTCTTAATTCCGCTTGGTTCTTTCGAGATAATAGTTAAGTATTTTATTGGTTACGTAACAAATAGTTTATTTCATTGGTTAAAAGTTCATGCATATCGTAATTTTATTTAACAGATACAATCCAGGAGCCTGCGCCGTTAGGTGGGCGATACCGTTAGCGGCGATAGCCGCTTTAGACGCTGCTACGTTAGCCGCGCTTGCTTTTATTCTGGCATCTAGGCACGTCAGGCTTCAACCGGAACCCTTTAACAACGGTTCCTTGTACAAAGGTAAAGATATTTTTAAAAGTATGAATTAAACGTCAGTTAAAATCTGTAAAAATGAAATAAGAAGCAAATTAGAGATTATAATCATTAACACTAGAATAACCAATTTGTAATATGTATCTAAATATAAGGTACATAAGTAATAATAATTAAAACTGCATGACGGAAATAAGTAAGTATTTTTATCTTAACAAAAGTCGATTTTGATCTTGTTAAAAGCAGCTGTATGTGTTCAGTAATTAGAAAAATAAAATAACTGTAATTAACCATTTTGGCTGGTATGGTTCTATGTTAATAAATTTATAAAATTTATGAAATGTGTGAAGAAATGAAATCTCTTTAAGCTACTATTTATGTCTTTTTTATATTATTGTTTATGCTTTTAATAATTTTTATGCACCTCCTATTCAACCAAAATCTCTTGAATGTAATCTTTTTACAAAATACTTTTTCTTTCATTTCAGGTGAAGTGAACCCAGGGTATGTAAATGAGGCGCAGAGTGTCGCTGGTTCTCGAAAATCCCTCTCCTTGCGACCGGTTCTTTTAGTCGCTCCACCAGAACAAGACCGCTATAGTGAGCTCTCGAGAGCAAAATCCCACTCGCATCACAGTCTTTATACACCAGCTCCGTCGCATCCAGCCCATACGATGTCGACGAATACCTTGAATCATTCTCAACATAATTTCCAATTGTAGATCTCTAAAGATCGGGACTATATCGTTGTATATAACTTATCGTACTATTACTAGTATTTTCTTTTTACTATTAATATTATTATAATTATAAACTGCAAGAACCGTGGAGAAACATTGTAAATAACATTAGAGAATTCCTTTCTTTTTATATTAATGTTTCTTTTTTTTCTTCTTTCTAATCGATTTTATACGTATTAGCAATCGCTGTTGTATCAAATCATGGAATTTCAAAAAGATCTTGTAGAAAATCGATAACGTCCAGTCGGATCGTAATACTTTTGTATTTTGTATATACCTTAACATAACTTTCAACGTTGTAAACTTTTTTCTCTTTGCAGTGTATATTCTAGATATGTAATTAAAGTTAGTTTACATGCACGCACGCACACACATTCGTTTGTCCTCTCATTTGTGACAAATAAGTGATATGTAATTGTCTACACAACGTTCAATATATTATTTTAGGAACTTACAAAAACTGATAAACTCTCTCTATCTGTTTCTTTTTTATTATAAACAAGTAACATAAGTTAGTTGTTTGACAGAACGGGAAGAATTTTACATAGTGAACAAGTTATGTATAATAAATAAAAACACCAGAATGAATCAGGCACGTTTGTCATTGGTGCTATATCTATGTAAAAATTGTATTCTTTAATAAAGAAAATCAAACGATGAACTGTACTAGGATATAGTTTCCGTTCATTCGCGCAAGTCTAAAGTAAAGTGTTTGCTCTATGGTAACTATGACTACACTTAAAATGAGACACCGATAATACGTATGCGTGTCGAAACTTCGTTGCGAAGAAATTCGAAAAAGATCGATTAGTCGTGCTAAAAGAATTCTCCGCGTCACATTAAAATGAACGACAAAGACGACAGCGCTTGGGTCTTTGACTCCTTGATTGGTTTTCTTCAGGGTCCCATTTGGTCTGCACCTCTGATCACTTTCATTGAAGAGAAGTCACTCAGTAAGTTGAAATATTTGCGCAACGAACCTTTTTATCTCATCTACAATCTTTGTTCTTCTTCTATGATCATTATTTGTAGACATGATACTCTTCTTTCTTTTAATACTAAATCCATGGAAGATTATAGGAAAGTTTATTCAAATACCATACCAAAACGAACCTTATGACTTCAAAAGTGTTATACTTTACTCAATATTTTTTTGTTTTTTCCCTTTTCTTCGCAGTATTCGAAGCGGACGTCGAAGAAAACGACGAGTATCAAAAGATATATCAGGAGTACAAAAATCTGGTGGACTTATTGCTTGGCTGTTTCATGGAAGACATGGGGATCACTCCGGAGCAATTCGAGTACGCTTGTACCGTGAACAAGTACACAAAAATGCCTATACAATTTCAGCAAGTGAGAAATCGTTGAGACTATTCTTAAACACAAGGCAAAGAAACGTACAAGTTATCTTGGTTTTGGTACTTGGTTTAGAACTTGTTTCAGCAAATATGGGCAGCAAATGAGTACGAGATATTCAAGAGAATGATGATACAGAAAAATCTGGAGCTTCAGCTGCAGGCTTTGAATATGATCGAGCAGAAGTATGGTCTCACTCCTGCATCCTTGATGTATGAAACAGATGTATTGAATAATGATCCTTTAGTCATGGAAGAAATTATTCAGTAAGTCTTATTAGTTAATCATATTTATATACTAGAACAAATCAAATATTTGAGTCTGTGATTCATATACAATTAACTAAAAAAAAAAAAATTATAGAAAACACGTGTTAGAGAACGACCCTGAAGATCAGGATATATCATCAGAAACTTCATTCATCAAAGAACACGAACGCTTGACAGCTAAATACAATAGCGAAAAAGCTTTGTTGGTAGAAGCCCTAAAAGCATCACAGGAGGAACAAACTTCAGAAAAGGACATGCACTTATTCTCAAAAGAAGAAATTGCAGAGAAAGAAAGAAGAGAAATAGAAGGCGACGAAGAAGAAGAAGGAGAAGAAGAAGGAGAAGAAGAAGAGGAAGAAGAGAAGCAAGAAGAAAGGAAGAAAGAAAATATCTCCAAAGCGGGCCCTTTTGTTTCTATGCCCACGGATGAATCAAAATCAGAGGAACAAAATGTATTAATTAAATTCCTTATATAGGAGCAATTAAGTCCAATTAGCTAAGCTATTTGTTAATATTTTAGGTATCAGAAGAAGACATAATAAAGAGGCAGACTTATCTAAAGGCTAGGCGCGATAAATTGGTAGCTTTGAAGAAAGAAGCAAGAAGTCAACGACTGGAAATGAATTCGACCAGGCCAAGTTCCGCGAGGACAGTAGCGGAAGCGACGATCAAAGGGGAGCAAGAACTAAATTTATCAGAACCTCTGGAACCGTCTATACTGCAAGTACGCAAAGCACTCGCGGCTCGCCTTCAAGCCGAGGTGGTGCGTAAGCAAACGAACTAATAATAACGATTCTCCAACATGAAAGAGATCGGGACGGCAATGTTTCATCTGAATAAAATGGTAAAGATATTTTTTCGAAAAGTTTCATACAGAGTTACATCAGCCTCTTTTTGTAGATATTATGTTAGAATAAAGATAGCGATATACGTTAGTTTGTAAGAACGTAACGTTTACACACTTTTAATCAAGTAAAGTAAACAGTCCAAATAATAAAGTGATATACGAGACAAACAAGTATGCCTAAAAAAAAATATGTGTAAGTCATATTTTTCTTATACAGTTCCAAGTATTCACCGTGTCAATATTTTCTTCTTTGTTTAAATAAGTCTGATTTAGTAAATATATATACATACATACATACATATATATATATTTACCTATATAAGTGTATTTCCGTTTGTGAATACTGATAAAATTATAAACAGTTTTTTAAGGTCACTTGCATTATTTTCTCTCAGTCATTCGATGCATTTCGCATGATCAATTTTGCAAATTGGAACATGAAAAAAATAAAAAAAAAAGGATAGAATATTTTATAATAATTTGTATAAATATTTAAAGGTATTCGAGCGATATAATTAGAAAGCAGAAAGAAAATAATATTTCCTACTTTTGTAAATATTTAATGCTTCACAGACGGAAATTTCCATTTGTAATTCTTTCAATTGGTTTTCTTATTTTTTATATACAGTTAATTTTTTCTTCTTTTTTTTTAATGCAATTGCATTTCTCGTTTAATTGATGCAAAGAGAAGAGAATGCAAAGTCGATGTAAAAGTCGTGTAACACACAACTCGTAAAAAATGTTTTCAGAAAAAATGAGTATAAATACACTGAAAAATCTGTTTTACATATAATTACCTAATAGCATAAATTGTATAAATCACAATTAGACAAGTAGAACTGAAAATTAACGTTAATTACATTCGTACAAAGAAGTATCCTTCTTTTTTTTTATCCTTGCGATTAAATATACCGAGGTAAGTCATGACTCTGTTCATCAATCAGTCCTTCTAATTTTAGATTTTATTTAATTAAATATTTTTCGCATTTCTACAACATACTTCTATTCTGTGTAACACACAATTGTCATTCTCACCTTTTTCCTTTTTAGCTGTCCAATTATAAAAAGTAAAATGATTTCGTGGCAAAATACGAGTACCCAACAATTTACATAATAATATAATAACGTAAATTCTGCATACATCTGCAAAACAAACATAAACCCAATTTTATGTATGGAATATACGATATTTATTAAATCAAAGATTTTCTCAAAAAATATATATATTAAAACACTTGGTCAATCAAAACTGGAAAAAATTAAAACTTTCCATCACTCGCTTTCCACCACGAATTCGAAATTTAGTTCATGTCATATTTGACTCGTGTAATTAATTATCGTTCATACTTCGCTAAAGTAAAATGCAAAATATCTTTTACTGACTTTCCATTTAGCTATTATCATATCACACATAAATAAAAATTGTTATTTTATTTCTTTATCTTTACTCTTAATTCACAAGATTCATGTTTTTAATTATTTACGAATAGCTTCTCATATAAAAAGGTGCCTCTCTTATGTGTGTGCGCACACACCCATATATATATATAATTAGAGAATTTATATATATAAATAATTAAAACGTATTATATTATTAACACGTGATATTATACAATGTGTGCAATTATCTTCTCTTTCAGTTTTAAATCACGTAATACCGTATGATGTTACATCACTGTATATCAGCTACAAAATTTCTTGATTTCCAGCGTCACTGATTTCACGTAAAATGATAAGCTTCTTTTTAAATTGAAAAAAATACTGAAAAAATATTTACTATTTTCGACAATCACATTAAACGGGGCTGGCGATTGAAATACAATGTTAAAAGTCGATTTTGTTTCTTCTGATTAAGAGAGAGTCGGTTTTATGAAATTTTAAATCAATCGTGAAAGCGAAATACGGGAAAAAGCGATTAACACGTTAGCCACCAATATCATATATGTACATGTATGTAACACATCGATTCTCCTTTAAAGCACGGCGTCACACATGTGACAGTGATAACTGTAAATAATGCGTATAAGTGAGAATCTGCAGTATATTGTGCAAATGTATAAAAAACAAAATATGATCTATAATGGACGTTTTTATCCTTCCCAACATGGTAGTGAACGTGTTAAATCGTGCACTTTAAACGAAGAGAAAGTTGAAAGACGGAGAAAAAAAGAATAAACTGAATTTCTTTTTCCCTGATCTTCGAGTACTCGTGTTTCTCTAAGAAACATAATATAAGCTTAAAGCTCGTACTCCTATTTAATTTCGTTTTTGGTTACATATGTATGCATCAAAATCCCAATGATAGAGTAAAATGAATATTAATAAAATATAAATAAAAAGATAGCAGTAATAAAAGTGACACATGACAATGAACAAGTCTGAAATACTATATGTAAATGTATATGTATACATATGAGCGTACGTGTGGGCATGAAATTTAGCTTAAATAGCATTTACAGCCGCACTGTTTATTCTAGTATCACTTTGATATCGATTCAATTTTTTCAGCGTTCTTTCCTTTATAATCCCCGTTCAAACACTTCCAATACAAGTTCTTTGTATTCCTTAAACTTTTTATCATTTTCTTTGTCCCTGGTTATTATAGAATAAATCATGAATATTATGTAAAACACATAAAGAATAGCATTACTCGATATCCTCTTAATTAATTAATTGTTAGCTCTTATTACACACACACACTCTCTTTCCCCCTCCTCTGACACTTTTTCTCCTTCTCTCTCTTGCACACTTTCCCTCTTTTTCTTATTTCGTGGTCAGTCCAAGTTACGCTTCTTTTTCTTTTCATTTCTTTTTTCCTCTTATGTACAAGTATATCCCTCAGCTCCAGCGAATTTGCCTACTTTGATATTCACAGGTTTTTTCGTTAAGGTTTCGTGACTGAATTAACTTCTAAAATTCTTTCTTTAGTATCATAAGTTAATATATATGCATATGTGTAGATAGATGCTACATGTATATGTAGTATTTCCGAAAAATGTCCAATACATATACAATTCTAAAGCAGTCTTAAAACTCTGTTCAGGGTTGTGGGCAGATGACGTGAAAAATTTATACATTAGCTTATAATACTTCTACTCCTTTCTGCTTGAGTTAACTTAATCAGGATATGGAGGCACATATTTTTGAAATGATATTAAATGAAAAAAAGAGGAAAACAAGCATTCTAAAGAAACTCAGTCGATGCAAATTGAAAGGAAGTTAGTTCAGACTCTTATACCAGCTTTCTCGGTTGTGTATCAGTAGTTTAAAAATTACGTAGACACTCTTATCTGGAGCTGATGTAGACCAATGAACTTCCATTTCGATCTTAATATAACATGAACTCGTTAAAAATAATCATTTGCTATGCATCATCTACATGGTTTCCATTTGGATTGACGCTTGCCTTTGAAATTTGAGTACTTCACTGTTATGTTTTCTTTTCCTTTATTATCGATTACGGAAAAAAGGAAACGTTTACGTCAAATTGAAAATAATTTAGACAAAACTAGACAATCCTATAAAATGTTACATCTAATGGAATTTCGCAAGGATAAATTTGAACAGATATACTTAATATTTCTCATTTTATATCTTTTCTTTACAAAGTACAATGATATTAAGCTTCTATTCTTACCAATATTAGTTATGAATAATGTATACGAATAAGATAGTATATATTTAATGCTCAAGATTGCAAGACACTTTCACATATACTTTTTTTTTTTACATCGAGGAGTGAATTGCGGACATGAAGTGCAAACTGGTAAATATACACAAATCAAATATGTTTATTGTACAATTTCTACTACTTACATTGACAACCGAAAAGCTCGTTCAAAGAACCTTAAATGGGAACTGAATTTGTAAAGGAATCGCATTTTCTCTGCTTTACCCACGAATGGTTGTTTTACAATCGTTACAAATATACATATATATACAAACTAAATACTATTTCCGTTAAATTGGATAAAGTTTCATGATGTCTGACCCCCTTTAAGGACAGGTCTTAATTGCCCATCACACGAATAAGAAAATTTATGGATGGCAAAACAAAACACTCAGTTGTTTTTGTGCGGTACATCATGTACTTTTACATGTGATTTTTTCTTTACATAATAAGTTTTTTCTTAATAGATGTAAATATGACGTACAGTCACAATTTCAATTATTACATGAATCTAAGCATACGCTTAGAAATTCTGTACTTGTAAGAACCACTAGGCCTGGCTAGAGTTTCTTAGCCTATTCGTGAAATAATTTCTCCTAGTACATGGGGTACTTCCAGACAACGTGGAATGGACTATTTCTTGTTAAAATCTTATTATTTTTAACACTTATGTGGTCATACAATATTATGCCACCATTTTATCATCATATGTCTTATTTAAAGAAAGTTCTTTCTTCCTTCATATCGCATTGGTTCATCTGTTTTTTTTTTTTTATATTTTTTTTATTTTTTTTTTTTTTTTTTTCTATTTTCATTTTTT